TTAAATCAGCATTGTAACCAATTTCAACATGTATTCACCATAACAATTAGTGAGGCATTTTACTGTCTTTTTTTCTCCTGAGTCTGGAATCTGGTGTGTGTTCGATGCATATGGCACATCTCCATTTGAATGACCACATAGCCACGTGGGATTAGTGGCTACTGTGTTAAACAGAGACATTCTAGAATAAAGCGGTTCCTTTAGAAGGATTTCAAAGTTGTGGTCCACAAGGCAGTTTGACAGCGGCGCTGAATGACTTCTTCTTTTCCAGGAAAGGAAGCAGAAATGAAATTAAGTTAGCTGCATATTTTATGGGTCCCAGGAGAAAGGCAAATGGCCAGAGAGAATGAGCTCAGTGAGAAACTGGGAGCGAGTCACACGAATTATGCACTGGACAATGTCCAGTGCTCTGCGTGAGCCTCTAGTTTACAGTAAGGCTGTATTGTGTTACCAAATACAGACATTTCCTAACTCTGCTTAGGGAGGAGGCATACATTGCTACCTTACAGACCACCATGGTCTCATACTTCCCCAAATATCGTGTTCTACTCTTCGGGGATTTTATCTTATTGTCTTTTAAACTACACTAACAGAAATAAGGAAACATTTTAAATTGTTCAGAGTAGGTCTGAATCCTATTTTGGGCGTAAGTAAAAGAGTAAAACAATCACACTTTGGTGTACAAACTAGACATCCAAAGCAATCAACAATGTAACTTCCTCCGTTAGCCAGCAGTCCTCTTTTATATTTTTTTAAGATTTCTTTATTTATTTATTTGCAAAGCAGAGTTACAGAGAGGCAGAGGCAGAGAGGGAGAGAGAGAGAGAGAGAGAGAGAGAGAGACAGAGGGAGAGGGAGAGGGAGAGGAAGAGAGAAGAAAGTCTTCCATCACCTGGTTCACTCCCCAAATGGCTGCAATGGCCAGAGCTGCACTGATCCGAAGTGGGTCTCCCACATGGGTGCAGTGGCCCAAGGACTTGGGCCATCTTCCACTGCTTTCCCAGGCCATAGTAGAGAGCTGGATTGGAAGTGGAGCAGCCAGGACTCAAACTGGCGCCCATGTGGGATGGCGGCACTGCAGGCGGTGGCTTTATCCGCTATGCCACAGCGCTGGCCCCTGGCCGTACTCTTACCAAAGGACATTGTTTCTAGAATATAGCACATCATTTAAAATCAGTATAGGTGTGAGATCAGTTTAATAATTGGTTTCTGTCGCTCCCCCTCTTCGTGGAGGAACGACACAGGACCCTGCGCTGTTCTTTCGTCTGCTCGGCCCTCCCCGGGTTTGCTGCTGGTTCTTCCCGGGTTGGCTACTATCCCTTCCACCTCCGTGGAAGGGCAATTCCCCCTGGCCGCATTCCCCACTTCCGCAGGGGAGCGGCACACCGCCAGCCGGCTCTACTCGGGGGGCTGCACAGGTGTTCCTTCAGCTAGATGTTCCCCATAGATGTTCCCCATAGATGTTCCTGGTGAATGCCGTCTCTCTCCTCCTTTATAGTCCTCCTCCGCCAATCCCAACTCGGCTGCCCACACGCCGAGTACGCTGCTCTCCAATCAGGAGCAAGTCCTACAGTTAATTGGTTGAACTGGAGGCAGCTGTGCGGAAGCTGTTTACTTCTCTCCCAGCGCCATATTGTGGGAGAGCAGATGCATAGAATAAGTCTTAATTCCAGTAACTCAGTCTAGTCCGGGTTGCTCCCCACAGATCCCCCTTTCTTTTTATTTTTGGCGTTGATACGCGCCTGTCTTCGGTGTCCCGCGGCACACACTCTGCTCTACTTGCTAGAGTTGCCACAGGCTCTTACAAGTCCTATCAGGCAAACCGAATCCGGGTCCTCTCTTCGCCATGTTGTGAGGAGGTTTTTAGGCGCTGATGCGTGCCTGTGTTCGGTGCCCTGCAGCGCATGCTCTGCTCTGCCTGCAGGGGCTTACAAGCCCTATCAGGCAAACCGAATCCAAGCCTTCTCATTGCCTTTTTGTGGGGAGGCCTTACTGATGTTAATTCGTGCCTGTCTTCGGTGACCTGCGGCGCATAAGCTGCTAGCCGCCGCAGGTGCTCATCGTGCTCATCGCCTCACTTAATCAGGCAGACCGAATCCAAGCTCTCACATTGCAGTGTTGTAGGGAGGCCTTTCTATTTCTCTATTTCTCTATCTCGGGCATTCCTATTTCTCCCATTTTACTTCTATCTTCCAGCATTCCTATTTCTCTCACTTTGCTTCTAAACTTCTATTTCTCTTATCCCTGCAGCTTCCCGGTGCCCGCCCCGAGGCTACTTCTCGGCGGCTTCCCGGCTGAGCCGCTTCAGCCCGCGCCTCTTTCATCTGTGCAGCTTCCCGGCTTTGCGCGGCTTGGCTTCGCGCGCTCCGCGGTCTCCACGCCCTTCGCGTCTGCACCACGGCCTCGCGCCAGCCCCGTTCCCTATCTATTCACGCCCCGTGCTCTCTCTGCACGCGGCGGCTTCCGCGAGTAACACAGCGTAGCTTACGTGTCCGCCACTAGCATTCAATCTAAGTTCCCCGGGCTAGCCTGGCGAATTCAACCCAGCATACGTCTCCACCCCACGATTTGGCTTCCCGTCCTTTGCTCCCGGGGCTAATCAGACGGATCCCAATCTGGCTTACGTTTCAGCTTCTGGTTTCAACTTTTCGCCCCCCATTCCCGGGCTAACTTGAGAATCCCAAAGTGGCTTTCGTATCCGCCTCGGCCTGCCCCCCGCGGCTTCAATTTCCCTAACACTTTTCTCTGCCCGGTATGTTTCCCTAAGTTTTCTTCCAACAATATTCCTCCCTCATTTCTCCTGGCCTCTCCCCACAGTCCGCATCCGAGTCTGTTTGTTCTAGCTTTCACTTTCGCTTTTGACCTTAGAGATTTCTCCCAGCTTCCCCCTGTAGTCCGTATCTGAATTTATGCCTAGGCTTTCAATAGCTTCTTCCGCCACCTTTTTCGTTCGGCTTTTCCATAGGCTGTTTGCTAGTCTCTCTCTCCGATATTTTCCCTAGGCTGTTTGCTAGTCTCTCTCTCCGAGATTTTCCCAGTTCTTCCCGTTTCTTCCCTCCTAAGTTTGCTATCCGTCCTAAGTTTCCTATCCGACCTAGGTTTCCTATCCAAGCTAGGTTTCCTATCCGAGCTAGGTTTCCTATCCGAGTCACGGCACCATTATGTCGCTCCCCCTCTTCGTGGAGGAGCAACACAGAACCCTGCGCTGTTCTTTCGTCTGCTCGGCCCTCCCCGGGTTTGCTGCTGGTTCTTCCCGGGTTGGCTACTATCCCTTCCACCTCCATGGAAGGGCAGTTCCCCCTGGCCGCATTCCCCACTTCCGCAGGGGAGCGGCACACCGCCAGCCGGCTCTACTCGGGGGGCTGCACAGGTGTTCCTTCAGCTAGATGTTCCCCATAGATGTTCCCCATAGATGTTCCCCATAGATGTTCCTGGTGAATGCCGTCTCTCTCCTCCTTTATAGTCCTCCTCCGCCAATCCCAACTCGGCTGCCCACACGCCGAGTACGCTGCTCTCCAATCAGGAGCAAGTCCTACAGTTAATTGGTTGAACTGGAGGCAGCTGTGCGGAAGCTGTTTACTTCTCTCCCAGCGCCATATTGTGGGAGAGCAGATGCATAGAATAAGTCTTAATTCCAGTAACTCAGTCTAGTCCGGGTTGCTCCCCACAGTTTCCATGTTTACAAGTTTTTTATATTTTGTTATAAGACTAATTAATAATTAATTTGAAAAGCAGAGAGAGAGACAGAGAGAGCGAGACCGAGAGATTCCATCTGCCAGTTCAATTCCCAAATGGAATTGGGCCAGACTGAAGCCAGGAGCTAGGAACTCCATCTGAGTTTCCCACGTGGGAAGGGCCCAAGCATTTGGCCACTGTCTTCTGCCTTCCCAAGCACATTATGCAGGAATGCTGAATCAGAAGTTGAGCAGCCGAGACTCCAGCCAGCACTCAGATATGGGATACAGGTGTTGTAAGCAGCAGCTTAACTTGTGCACCACAATACCAGCTCTGGTTTTCTTTAGTTTCATGAGCAGTTAAAAAGAATTGCTTTTCAAAAAAAAAAAAAAAAAGGCCGGCGCTGCAGCTCACTAGGCTAATCCTCCACCTTGCGGCGCCGGCGCCGGCACCCCGGGTTCTAGTCCCAGACGGGGTGCCAGATTCTGTCCCAGTTGCTCCTCTTCCAGTCCAGCTCTTTGTTGTAGCCCGGGAAGGCAGTGGAGGATGGCCCAGGTGCTTGGGCCCTGCACCGCCTGGGAGACCAGGAGGAAGTACCTGGCTCCTGGCTTCGGATCGGCGCAGCGCACCGGCCATAGTGGCCATTTAGGGGGTGAACCAATGGAAGGAAGACCTTTCTCTCTGTCTCTTTCTCTCACTGTGTAACTCTGCCTGTTAAAAAAAATAGTACAACAACATTCAGAAGAGCCGATAAAAACCAAACCAACCCAAACATGTATTTTCTTTAAGGTGCCAAAAAAAAAAAAAAAAAAAATCAAGGAACACAATCAACATACATTTTTATAACTGCATGTCAGAAGTAGACAATGATAGTATCTAACATTTATTGTGCATGTCCCATGTACCAGGCACTGCTCTGAGTCAGCCTTTTACCTGCATACTTTCATTTAATCCTATGAGATTATCACTCCTACTCAAGAATTAGGAGTGAGTCAGCAGCACGGAACAGGAATCACCCCAAAAAGTGTTTGTTCTCATAATAAGAAATCGGGGATAGGTTATGGATTGTTCAATGACAAGAATGAACACAAATTCTATTTCCAAATCCACCATTCTTAGCACATCTATTGCCTCATTGTCCCAAGATGGTTGTCACAGCTCCAGGCAGTAAGCCTACTTTCAAGTAGAGAGAAGGAGGAACAGTGATGCCACGAAGCTCTCCCTTCCTTGTCTTTAGCAAAGAGGTGCCTGCCAGCAGATTTCCTTATTCTCTTCACTGACCACACAGGGATCGCTGGCCGTTCCTACCTGTCAAAGCAGGTGGATTTCTTTTTTTTTTTTTTTTCTTTTTTTTTTTTTCTTTCTTTTTTTTTTTTGACAGGCAGAGTGGACAGTGAGAGAGAGAGACAGAGAGAGAAAGGTCTTCCTTTGCCGTTGGATCACCCTCCAATGGCCGCCGCTGCAGCCGGCGCACCGCGCTGATCCGATGGCAGGAGCCAGGAGCCAGGTGCTTTTCCTGGTCTCCCATGGGGTGCAGGGCCCAAGCACCTGGGCCATCCTCCACTGCACTCCCTGGCCATAGCAGAGAGCTGGCCTGGAAGAGGGGCAACCGGGACAGAATCCGGCGCCCCGACCGGGACTAGAACCCGGTGTGCCGGCGCCGCATGGTGGAGGATTAGCCTATTGAGCCACGGCGCCGGCTCTTCTTTTTTTTTTTTTAACGCCTGGCGTGGAAGGAGCGAGAGAGAAGGCAACCTCACTCTAAAATTCACCTGGTGCTGGGAGAGCCAGAGCAATCTTGAAAAGGAATGGCGTTGGAGGACTCACACATCCTAACTCCAAATCTTACTACACAGCTGCAGTAATCAAGATGGCGGTGAGATGGTAGTATACCGGCACACAGCCGGATCAATGGCGTGGAACTGAGAGTCTAGATGTAACTCCGTAAGCGGATGGATAATTGATTTTCAACAGAGGTGCCAAGACAGTTCAGTAGGAGGAGAACGGTGTTTTCAATAAATGCTGCTGGGGCTAATGGATGTCAATGAAGAGAATGAAGATGGACCTCTTTTATAATTTAAAAAAGTAATTCAAGGTAGACCAGAGATCTAAAAGCATAAAACCATTGACAGGAACAAAGGAATAGATCATTGTGAGCTTGGATTAGCCAAGGCTTTGGGCACAAGTGACCCAAAAGCAAAAGACAAAGGTAAATTAGACTTGGCTGGAGATACAAACTTTCCTGCTGGAAATGATACCATGCAGGAAAGTAAACATACAGCCCACATAGTGAGACAAAGTATTTGTCAGTCATGTACCCGATAAAGGACATAACTAGACTATGTAAAGGGTACCTACAACTAAATAATGGACAATCTAACTTTAAGAATAGGAATAAGTTAAACAGGCATTTCTCCAAACAAGATATACAAAGCACATGCATGAAAAATGCTCAACATATAACTAATGACATTGAATTATTAGTTCCATACAAATCACAGTCATGAGATGCCAACTTATACCCACTAGAATGGCTGCAGTAAAAGAGATGGTGGTGAGCCTCACATCCTGTTGGTGGGATTGTAAAGCAGAGCCATCACTTCAGAAAACCGTCTGGCAGTTTGTCCAACAGCTGAACGTGGAGTTACCATGACACGACATCTCTACTCCTAGGTGCACATCCATGAGAAATGAAAGCATATTCACACAAAACCTCGCATGCACACTTTCCTGGCAGTCAAAAGCTGGCAACACCCAAACATCTGTCACCTGGGGAGTGAAATATGGTATTCACTGATGGAATATTATTCAGCAGTGATAATGAATGGAGGACTAGGGCAGGTACAGTGTGGATGAACCTTGAAAATATTAGTTGAAAAAAGCCAGACACGAAAGACCTAATACTGTATGATTCCATGTGTATGCAGGCCGGGAATAGGCCAATCTAGAGACAGAAAGGATATTGATAGTTGCCAACAGCTGGCGCAGGGTGATAATGACAAATTCTTTTTTAATTCTCTTTTTAAAAAAGATTTATTTATTTGAAATGCAGAGTTACAAAGAGGCAGAGAGAGAGAGAGAGGTCTTCCATCCACTGGTCTACTCCCCGAGATGGCTGCAATGGCCGGAGTTGTGCCAATCTGAAGCCAGGAGTCAGGACCTTCTTCCAGGTCTCCCATGTGGGTGCAGGGGCCCAAGGACTTGCGCCATCTTCCACTGCTTTCCCAGGCCATAGCAGAGAGCTGGATTGGAAGTGGAGCAGCAGGGTCTCGAACCAGTGTCCATATGGGATGCTGGCACTGCAGGCAGTGGCTTTACCCGCTACGCCACAGTGCCGGCCCCAATGACAATTTCTAAACTTAGGTTGTGGGTATGTTGTCACAATTCTGTGAATATACTAAACCCAATATATTGTTTACTCTAAATCAGTGAATTTTTTTTAAAGATTTTATTTATTTATTTGAGAGGTAGAGTTACAGACAGTGAGAAGGAGAGACAGAGAGAAAAATGTCTTCCATCCGCTTGTTCACTCCCCAGATGGCTGCAATGGCTGGAGCTGCACCCATCTGAAGCCAGGAGCCCGGTGCCTCCTCCCGGTCTCCCACACGGGTGCAGGAGCCCAAGCACTTGGGCCGTCTTCCACTGCCTCCCCAGGCCATAGCAGAGAGCTAGATTGGAAGAGGGGCAGCGAGGACTAGAACCAGTGCCCATATGGGATGCTGGTGCCACAGGTAGAGGATCAACCTACTGCATCATGGTGCCGGCCCCTCAGTGAATTTTATGGTATGTAAATTATATGTCAATAATGGTTTAATAAACAAAACACAAGGTATAATTACGTAAAAAAAAAAGTATACTTGGAGCCGGCATTGTGTAGCAGTGGGTTAAGCTGCTGCCTGTGACACTGGCATCCCATACTGGAGCAGCTGATTCAAGTCTGGGTTGCTCTGCTTCTGATCCAACTCCCTGCTAATGCACCTGGAAAAGCACTCTTTGGTTCTTGAAGCACATGTGTGAGGCTCGGATTGAGTTCCTGGCTCTTGGCTTTGGTATGGCCCAGCCTTAGTTGTTGCAGTCACTCTGTCACTCTATCTTTCAAATAAAGAAATATTTAAAAAAAAATCCTGTTTTAAAAATGTGTGGGTGTAGGGGCTGGCTCTGTGACATAGTGGGTAAAGCTGGCACCTGCCATGCCGGCATCCCATATGGGTGCCGGTTCAAGTCCTAGCTGCTCCACTTCTGACCCAACTCTTGGCTATGGCCTGGGAAAGCAGTAGAAGATGGCCCAAGGCCTTGGGCCCCTGCACCCACATGGGAGATCTGGGAGAAGTTCCTGGCTCCTGGCTTTGGATTGGCACAGCTTTGGCCATTGCAGCCAACTGAAGAGTGAACCAGTGGATGGAAGACCTCTCTCTCTTTGCCTCTCCTTCTCTCTGTGTAACTCTTTCAAATAAATAAAGAAATCTTTAAAAAAATGTGTGGGTGGGTAAATATGTAAAATGGAGATATTTGTCCCTAATAAAAGCAAATATTAGCTCCATGTCACCCCTACTTCATCTTTTCTCCTACCCATTTTTCCCTTCTCACATTAATTTGGATCAAATATAATCTCAACTACCACAGTTCTGCATATTTTTAAAAGATCAGAATTCTTTTTGAACATAGACACGATATTATCAAAACTAATAATTCAAAACATTTCCTTAATGTTAAATACTTTGCCAATGTCACTATTTTTTAAATTTTATTATTATTATTTTTTTTTTGACAGGCAGAGTGGACAGTTAGAGAGAGAGAGAGAGAAAGGTCTTCCTTTTTGCCGTTGATTCACCCTCAAATGGCCGCCGCGGCCGACGCACTGCACTGATCCGATGGCAGGAGCCAGGTACTTATCCTGGTCTCCCATGGGGTGCAGGGCCCAAGCACGTGAGCCATCCTCCACTGCACTCCCAGGCCATAGCAGAGAGCTGGCCTGGAAAAGGGGCAACCAGGGCAGGATCTGGCACCCCGACCGGGACTAGAACCTGGTGTGCTGGCACCGCAAGGCAGAGGATTAGCCTAGTGAGCCACGGCACCAGCCTCAATGTCACTGTTTCTAACATCTTACAACAACGTTTTACACAGGAGCTGCATGATGATCTGCTGCTTCCATGTTTTCCCCTGGAGGCTTGGCCAGTCCTCTGCTCCCTGAGCTCACAGCCTCTGCCCTGGGGAGTCTTCATCCCTGTTTTTTTCCTTTCTCAGCTTTCGGGAGCACATTTTCTCAATAAGTCTCTAAGAAAGGATGCATGGGAAGCAATTTCTTTCTAGTTGTTAGGCATCTGAAAATGTTTTTTTCCTTCCACATAATTGAAGCTCTGTTGTTTATAGAATTTCAGGTTGCAAATAATTTTCCCTCGGATTTTTGAGGAATTTTCTGGTGTACAGCGTTGCCAGTGACAAGTCTGAAACAATTGTCCTTTGGCAACTTTTTAGAACGTCTTTGTTCTAAAAATTTCCATTAACATGCTGTAAGCCCTTTTCCACGGCACTGGATCTTCCACAGCCCTTTCTTTTGAACTCTGTTATGCAAAGTCTTCTTACACTATTTCTTTAGAAGTTTCTTCCTATTTGATGTTCAAGGGACTCCTGTTAAATCTTGAGTTTCCTAGATTAGAATCTTTCCAATAGTCTACTTCTTTCTGTCCACCTCTTTCTCATCTTTTGTGCTTAGCTATTTCAATTTTTTAAAAAAGATTTATTTGAAAGGCAGAGGCAGAGAGAGAAATCTTACATCTTATAGTTCACTCCCCAAATGGCCCCAATGACATGAGCCACCGTTCAGAAGCCAGGAGCTTCCTCCTGGTCTTTTTATTTTTATTTTATTTTTTGGACAGGCAGAGTGGACAGTGAGAGAGAGAGAGAAAGGTCTTCCTTTTGATGTTGGTTCACCCTCCAATGGTCACCTGCGGCCGGCGCACCACGCTGATCCGAAGGCAGGAGCCAGGTGCTTCTCCTGGTCTCCCATGGGGTGCAGGGCCCAAGCACCTGGGCCATCCTCCACTGCACTCCCGGGCCATAGCAGAGAGCTGGCCTGGAAGAGAAGCAACGGGGACAGAATCCGGCGCCCTGACCGGGACTAGAACCTGGTGTGCCGGCACTGCAAGGTGGAGGATTAGCCTAGTGAGCCACGGAACCGGCCTCTTCCTCCTGGTCTTCCCATGCAGGTACAGGGGTCCAAGGACTTGGGCCATCTTCTACTGCTATCCCAGGCCATAGCAGAGAGCTGGATCAGAAGTGGAGCAGCTGGGACTCAGACCTGCACCCATATGGGATGCTGGCGCTGCAGGTGGCGGCTTTATCCTGTATGCCACAGCGCTGGCCCCTAGGTATTTGAATTTTAATTTCCAAGAGTTTATTCCACTTTTCTTCCTTTCTTTATTCTTTATTGAGGGCAATGAATGTCCAGTAGGGAATCTCTAAATGTCAGTCGTTTGGTGTTTTCTCCTGAACTGTAAAGTTTCTCAAGAAAATGACCCTGGTGGCCGGAGCGACAGGGTCAGCTGTTGGGTGCTGGGAACAGAGGTGGAGCAAGGGTGACAGAGCAGGCTGGGGGAGTGGGGGCATTCAGGGTGCAGATTTTCCCTTAACCCCTGGCTTTTCAATGCAGTTTTATTTCTCCTTTCTGATACTTTCGGATATACCTAGTATTCTTAAGTCCCAAACTTCTCTGGTTAAATTTGTTTAAAAAATAAAATCTCTGTCTTCCTGTTTTGGGTAGGACAAACTTTTTTTTTAAGATTTATTTTCTAGGATATGCAAATATAAAGTAGTTCTTATGAATCAGTTTAAATAGGACAAGCAACCAATAGAAAAACAGGCAACAAAATACATGAACAGACATTTACAGGAAACACAAATAATGATATAGTAAGAGATGCTCCATTTCACTAGTAATTTAAAACCACAGGAAAATTACAAACTAAAACCACAGTTAAGACTCCACCCATCAGCCTGGTCAGAATTACCAAGGCTGACGTTGGTTGTTGATGAGAATGAAGGCAACAGGAATTCTCAAACACTGTATTCAAAAACCACACTGATGCAACCAGCCCATCTGGCATGACCTAGTAGGGTTGAGCATGTGCACACTCCAGCATGTTGACTAAGATATATGCTCAACTCTTGTAACTAAGTATCTTAAAATAGGTAGAATACTGTTCATGCAACATCATCCCTCAGAATAAGACAGTGAAGACAACCCAAATGCTCACTGACAGATGGGATAAGTTGTGGTATAGTCATAAAATCTAATACTATATGGCAGTGAAATAAATGAACTACAGCTATGTGCATCAATATGGATTAAATGTTGAGTTAGAAACCAAGTTAGAAGAAAATCCGGGCCGGCGCCGTGGCTCACTAGGCTAATCCTCCGCCTGTGGCGCCGGCACACCGGGTTCTAGTCCCAGTCAGGGTGCCGGATTCTGTCCCGGTTGCCCCTCTTCCAGGCCAGCTCTCTGCTGTGGCCAGGGAGTGCAGTGGAGGATGGCCCAAGTGCTTGGGCCCTGCCCCCCATGGGAGACCAGGATAAGTACCTGGCTCCTGCCATCGGATCGGCGCTGTGCGCCTGCTGCGGCGGCCTTTGGAGGGTGAACCAATGGCAAAGGAAGACCTTTCTCTTTGTCTCTCTCTCTCACTGTCCACTCTGCCTGTCCAAAAAAAAAAGAAGAAAATCCGTAATATTCTAAATTTTATAAGGCTAACAAACAAAACAGTACAAATGCATAGGAATGATTAACACTAAATTCAGGATACTGCTTAGACATGAGAGGCATACAGGGAACTTCAAACACATTGGTATGTATGTATGTATTTATCTGAAAGTCAAAGTGACAGAGAGAGACAGAGAGACCTTCCAGCCTCTGATTCACTTCCCAGATGGCCACAATGACCACAACAGCCAGGGCGGGGCCAGGCTAAAGTCAGGAGTCAGGAACTTCATCCTGCTCTCCCACACGCACGGCAGGGTTCCAAGTACTTTGACCATCTTCTCCTGTCATGCCAGTTGCATTACAGGAAGTCAGATCAGAAGCAGAGCAGCACAGCAAGGTCTCACACTGGCCCCTCTGATAGGGGACACTAGTGTTGGAAGTGGTGGAAGTGGTGGAGTTAGACAGTGAGAGAGGCAGAGAGAAAGGTCTTCCTTCCGTTGGTTCACCCCCCAAATGGCCACAACAGCTGGAGCTGCACTGATCCGAAGCCAGGAGCCAGGTGCTTTCTCCCGGTCTCCCATGGAGCACTTGGGCCATCCTCTCCCAGTATTTACTTTTTGAGCTGACTGGTGGATTCATGTGAACTCATTTAACTATTACAAATGGATGCTCTGTTCATCCCATTGTTTGTATGACTGATTACCCAGAAAGAAAAAAATACCATCACAATCTTCTCTTTACTGATGAATCTATGGCATTGCTATTCCTAGCCAGGCTGCTCAGGTGGACAAAGCTGGACAAAGCTCAGGTAGAGGGAATATACTCCAGATGATTTCGTTGCCTGAGTCTTCTGTCATCTTTGCATTTCCTGTGTTGACAGCTGGAGTCTTCTGAGAGTGAAAGAGGGTGCTATTAATAATTACGTAACAATGAGCACTAAATCCCTGCACTGCTGTTCTCAGCAGAACCGGAAGCTGATCGCTTACAGTCTCCTTTAATAATGCATTTTGAGGGGGCCTGTGCTGTGGCCTACCTAGCAGGCTAAGCCTCCCCTTGCGGTGTTGGCATTCCACATGCACATGGTTCTACTCTGGGCCGGTCCTCGTCTGATCCAGCTCTCTGCTGTGAAAGTGGTAGAGGATGACCCCAGTCCTTGGGCCCCTGCACCCGCGTGGGAGACCTGGAAGAAGCTCCTGGCTCCTGGCTTCCGATCCGCCCATCTCCAGCAGTTGTGGCCATTTGAGGAGTGAACGAGTGATGGAAGACCTTTCTGTCTTTCCCTCTCTGTGTAACTCTACCTCTCAAAATAAATAAAAATATAAAAAAGTGCATTTTGATGATATAAATTTATCCTGGTAAATAGTTTTTGAGCATAAAAATGTTTATAAAAATGTTTCAGTGAGAACTGCGATGGTCAGGACACTGGATTAGAGACGCAGCTCTGAGCAATTAGAAATGATGAAAAGTAAGTCAGAAAGGGCGCGAGGAGGGAAAACAACAATACACTAGCAGTGACCACTTGCTTGTGAACTACTCAGCCTGGCTGTGGCGTTCGCAGGTCAGCTCCATCCCTTTTTCTTCTGGTACCTTTGCTTCTCCCTCCCTCTGCTTTGTCCATCCCCATTTCACAGGCCAAACTCCAAGAGGAGTTAGTGGCTTCTGCCCCTCACGGAGAAAATCCCGTGAACTGAGGTCACCCTTAAGCTGGCAGAATCTTCGGCAGGCAACTGCGCCTGGGGGAATCTTGGTCCATTTTGTGGAAGGCCAATGCCTACCTATGTTGCTTCCAGTCTCAGCTGAAGCAGGATGTCAGACAGAGGACACCACGGTCTACAGGCACAGGCTGAAGTCAGTCTGCGCTAACCCGACTACCCGACAGGTCCTAATTGTTTAGGACGAGCCTGCAATTCCAAGTCATAATCAGCTTACAACCGCGGAGACAGTGTCTGATGAAGACTAACCACTGGAATGTAACACACAGTGAAGCATATTAAATTAATCACTGCGTTTCCTCAGGGCTGAAGCTATCAAAGAATGTGCCTTTTCTAATCAAAGTAGTAATTTTTCACCCTGCAAAAAAAGCATTTGCTATCACATTCATAATTCGAGACTGTATTTTCAAACAAGTTTGTACAGACTGCGAAAGGCTCAAAGAGGAAGTGAAATTTATTTAAATATTACAGTTACATTGTATGCTGCTGGCATACTCATATTCACAGTTTATAAAGTAAAAAAACTAAACTTTTAAAGTCAGCTTTGAAATAGATGCCTTTTTATTAATACATTCACTAGTTAGGTCTGCTCTTCTAGGACAGGAGCACAGACAGAGGAGATATTTTCTTAAAGAAACTCAACCTGTCAGCAGCAAATTCTAGTTAAGCAAATTTGGAAACTGAAGCTCTTTTGTGTAATTGAAGTAAAACAAAAAATCAGTTCTTCTGCTAAGTCTCAAAATTAGAGCATAAATTAGAAGACTAAAAACTTCAGAAAGCATACTGTGTGGTGATTTATTAACAAATATTAAAAGTAGAGTTTTCAAATTTGATTTTAAGAACACAGTTTAGATCTAGTCAAATACATTTAGGTATCAAATGGAAGTAACACCACCATTTGGGGTTACTGCCAGGAACTGACCTCCACGGTGTCTCCCTAGAATTCCCACTGACAGAAAGTTTAGGGACTGACACTGCCGGGACCCTGGCAATACCTGCCCCGTCATTCTCAGCGCTGGGCAGGACAGCCACTGTCCTGAGGTGCTTTATTTGGGGATACAGAGTATTCCCAAAACAGACTCATGGCTTGCAAGCAGCGTACCCTGTCAGGAGCCTGGGAAGACACCATGAAATCACCTACTGAGGTGTGGTCCCGACTACTCAGTGTTACAGCTGCATAGGGAGTTCTGAGATTAAGTACTTTAGACAGAAAGAGAACAGTGTAGGGTAAATAACTCATTGTAATTTAACTTAAGCATCATAATAATTAACTGTAACATGTTTACTTCATAATCCTTTGATAAATATAATTTCCTTCACATTCTATTTCCCAAATTTTCTCAACAATTTACAATAACAACCTATCTGCAATGAACAGCCTTGAAACACTACTTAAAAAGCTTAAATTCCAGTTGGGATGTATTAAAATTTAGTTAAGCTTCAAAATTCACAGTACTGCCTAGAAATGGGGGAGTCCCGAGGTACCGGGGCAGAGCGGAACCCAGTCTTCATGTTTGCTTTCTGGAGTTGTGTAGGGAGATCACAGAACTGTGGTCTCCGCTGTGTTGTGTCAGATAGTGGACTGGTATCAGTACTTCAAGCCGAGGCTCTTGAAACACATTTTCCACATATATGTACTGGTATATGAGGACGTGAACCTATATACACTTTCTGACAAAAGAATGACAGTTAAATATGTGAACCATTTTTGCCCAATGGATTCTATTTGGTTCGCAAATAATTTTCTTTCCATCAGTCTACCGAAGTCCAGACCAACTGTGCAGATAGGATGCCCAGCCAGAAGAACGGGAAGTATTTTCTTCCTCACCTTTGGAAAGTGAAAGAAAAAAGTATTAAGTTTATTCAATGTGAAATCTATATTCTAGTATCACGGTACAGTACAAACAAACAATGTCTTTTTCACTGAATATGTGCCATTATTTAGACAAGTATTATTTTTTAAAGATTGATTTGTTTATTTATTTGAAAGTCAGAGTTACACAGAGAGAGGAGAGGCAGAGAAAGAGAGAGAGAGAGAGAGAGAGAGAGGGAGGGAGAGAGGGAGGGAGGGAGGGAGGGGTCTTCCATCCGATGGTTCACTCCTCAATTGGCCGCAACTGCCAGAGCTATGCTGATCCGAACCCAGGAGCCAGGAGCCTCTTCCAGGTCTCCCACGTGGATGCAGGGGCCCAAGGACCTGGCCCATCTTCCACTGCTCTCCCAGACCATAGCAGAGAGCTGGATCGGAAGAGGAGCAGCTGGGACTAGAACTGGCGCCCATATGGGATGCGGGTGCCTCAGGCTAGGGCTTTAACCCACTGTGCCACAGCACCAGCCCCTATCATTCTTTTTTAAAGATATAATATTGGATTTCCTTGTTACAACAATTTAATGGATAGGTTTATTTATTTTTTTAGATATTTATGTAGTTGAAAGGCAGAGTGAAAGAGAGAGCAAGAGACAGGGCCGGCGCCACGGCTCAATAGGCTAATCCTCCTCCTGCGGCGCCGGCACCCTGGGTTCTAGTCCTGGTTGGGGTGCCGGATTCTGTCCTGGTTGCCCCTCTTCCAGTCCAGCTCTCTGCTGTGGCCAGGGAGTGCAGTGGAGGATGGCCCAAGTGCTTGGGTCCCTGCACCCGCATGGGAGACCAGGAGAAGCACCTGGCTCCTGGCTTTGGATCGGCGCAGCACTGGCCTTAGCGGCCATTAGCGGAGTGAACCAACAGAAGGAAGACCTTTCTCTCTGTCTTTCTCTGTCTGTAACTCTCTAATTCTGTCTGGCAAAAAATAAAAAAATATTTTATTTGAAAACATGTGTGTGTGTGTGAGAGAGAGAGACACACACACACACACACACAGAAATCTTCCATCTACTGGTTCACTCCCCAAATGTCCATAATAACCAGGGCTGGGTCAGGCCAAAACCGGGAGCCAGGAACTCCATCCAGGTCTCCTATTGTGTGGCAGGAACTCAAGCACTTGGGCCTTCATCTGCTGCCTCTCGGGAGGCATCAGCAGGAGGTTGGAGACGGGGTGTGCAGGTCCTGAGCCGTGGCTTGCCTATCAGCCATGACTCCATTTTACCTGCACCAGTCTCTTCAGCAAGCAGCTTCTCCCTCTCACCTTCCTGTTCTGAAACAACTCCTTCTTCAGATTTCCCACTCTTTGTTCTGATCCTTCTTTGTTCCTGGTTCTCACTGTAGATACTAACAGTAGCCTGGGCAGTGCTGCCCTGAAAGCCATGTCCAACCAACCAGCCCACCAGCTGTAAGTGCAGTATCCCACGACATCTCAGGACACAGCCACCAGGTTCTACACTGTGGTGTGATACGGATGGCCGAGTCCGGTCCCCAGTAACCTCATTTCCACCCGACGTCGCATCAGCACGCCCTCTGCTGCCTGCATGTCCTGGTATCAGCATTCTGGGGACGACTGCTTACTCAAACTCTAAGACGTCCTAGTCCTTTCCTAGCTTCCCCGTCTTCTGCACTTTCGCTAGAACCACCCTTAACGCACTGTCGCTCCCCCTCTTCGTGGAGGAACGACACTAGACCCTGCGCTGTTCTTTCGTCTGCTCGGCCCTCCCCGGGTTTGCTGCTGGTTCTTCCCGGGTTGGCTACTATCCCTTCCACCTCCGTGGAAGGGCAGTTCCCCCTGGCCACATTCCCCACTTCCGCAGGGGAGCGGCACACCGCCGGCCGGCTCTTCTCGGGGGCTGCACAGGTGCTCCTTCAGCTAGATGTTCCCCTTAGATGTTCCTCGTGCATGCCGTCTCTCTCCTCCTTTATAGTCCTCCTCCGCCAATCCTAACTCGGCTGCCCACACGCCGAGTACGCTGCTCTCCTCCAATCAGGAGCAAGTCCTACAGTTTATTAGCTGAACTGGAGGCAGCTGTGCGGAAGCTGTTTACTTCTCTCCCAGCGCCATATTGTGGGAGAGCAGATGCATAGAATAAGTCTTAATTCCAGTAACTCAGTCCAGTCCGGGCTGCTCCCCACAACGCACCACTCAACAGTATCGTAGGCTTTCCTAGCCTGATTCTCCAAAGTCTACCAACATCTGCCGGTTAACCAATTCTAAAGATATCTCCACATTTTTAGGTATAGTTTATAGTTAACAGTCATGCACTCCTGGTGTCAAATACCAATTTTCTGTACTAGTCAGTTTTTTTTTTTTAAGATTTTGGGGCTGGCACTGTGGCCTAGTAAGTTAATCCTCCACCTGCAGCGCTGGCATCTCATATGGGCTCTGGTTCTAGTCCTCGGCTGCTCCTTTTCCAATCCAGCTCTGTGCTTATGGCCTGGGAAGGCAGTGGAAGATGGTCCAAGCACCTAGGCCCCTGCACTTGTGTGGGAAACATGGAAGAACCACCTGGCTCCTGGCTTTGGGTTGGCCCAGCTCTGTCTCTCCCTCTCTCTGTCAGTAACTAGAGGGAGAAAGGTCTTCCATCTGCTGGTTCACTCCCCAAATGACCAAAGGGCCAGAGCTGGTTATAGATACTGGATCAAGCCTCCACCCTCTCCCAATAGCACCACCCTGTGGCCAAGCATTTAACACATGGGCCTCTGGGGGACACCAAAATCAATAGCCAAACTGTAGTATCTGTCTCCCACAGTCTGCATGGAGAACTTCAAGAAAGCTGAGCAAGAAATACTGCTAAAGGATGGACAACTGGGCCCTGATATGTGTCTTAAGGTAGCCTTGCTCTCAAAAATAATGAGAGACTGGAAACACTTCCTGAAGCTGAAAAGCAGATTGTTGTGTGTTCATCTGGGATGAATGGTAAACTATAAGCATGCTTTGTAATACAAGAAATATTCAGCTGTGTGGTAAGTTACAGCAGGACCCTGCTCCGTGTGGCCAGTGTTCCTGTCACTTTCATCCCTGCAGATAACAAGGACCAGGGAGAGGCTTTACTGAGACAGGTGCACTGGTGCCTGCACGCAGTGGCTGTTCTCCACGGATGCGGTTCACATCCTCTGCAAATCAACTGAGACACTGAGAGTAGGCGTGTGAGTGTGCATGCTCTCTCTGCGGGGCTGCACATGGTCAGAACGCCCGTGACAGTCTCAGTCTATTTTCTTATGGCGATGTTGGCCTTTTCCCTCCTCATTTACTTCTTCTTCTTCTTTTTTTTTTTTTTTTGACAGGCAGAGTGGACAGTGAGAGAGAGAGAGAAAGGTCTTCCTTTGCCGTTGGTTCCCCCTCCAATGGCTGCTGCGACTGGCGCACCACATTGATCCGATGGCAGGAGCCAGGTGCTTCTCCTGGTCTCCCATGGGGTGCAGGACCCAAGCACTTGGGCCATCCTCCACTGCACTCCCTGGCCATAGCAGAGAGCTGGCCTGGAAGAGGGGCAACTGGGACAGAATCCGGTGCTCCCGACCGGGACTAGAACCCAGTGTGCTGGCGCCGCAAGGCGGAGGATTAGCCTAGTGAGCCGCGGCGCCGGCCCCTCATTTACTTCTAAAGCGTATTTGACTTTCATGCAAGCATTGTGTCCTAAGTAACAGTATACAGCTCTGTAAATTGTAATCTAGTCTGATGATAAAGTGATGTAAACACGTCACTTCTAGCTTTCACTACAGTAGTTAAGTCGAGATTGCAATACTGCAGAGATAAGCATTATATGGCTAACTTACTAGCAAGTAAAGTCATCTTACCATGAATTCTATCTCAGACAGAAAAGGAAGCGCTCACTCTGACCTGTGCTGACCTCTCACAAGCAGGGGAAAGGGAGAGTTAGCAACTGTGCTATCAGCAGAGAACCAGCCTTCACTTCTTGACACCTCTTGTTTGAACACTACTGCTGCAACTCACACAGGGCTGTAACAGACCGCTCTAAGCAGCTCATGGCACCTGGTTAGGGTTTCAGTTGGATCCCTAATGGTTATTTACAAGGAATTTGATGTCACCTGTCAAGGTTGGGGAACTGGGGCTGGCATTGTGGTGCAGTGGGTTAAGCTGCTACCTGCAATGCCAGCATCTCCTATGACTCCCAGTTTGAGTCCCAACTACTCGACTTCCCATAGAGCTCCATGCTAATGTACCTGGGAAAACAGCGGAAGATGGCCCAAGTGCTTAGCCACTGGGGGAGTGAACCAGCAGGTGGAAGATCCTATCTTCCTTCCTTCCTTCCTTCCTCTTTCCTTCCTTCTCTCTTTGCGTTTCTTTCAAATAAATAAATCAAAACTTAAAAGATTTTATTTAAAAGATTTGAGAGGCAGAGTTACAGAGTGGCCATTTGGACAGTGAACCAGCGAAGGGAAGATCAATCTATGTGACTGCTTTTCGAATAAATAAATAAAATATTAAAATTTTTTACTTGTTTATTTGAGGTAGAGTTATACAGAGAGAGTTATCTTCCATCGACTGGTTTACACCGCAAATGGCCTCAATGCCCCGGGCTGGGCAAGGCTGGGGTCAGGAGCCTGGAACTCCATCCGGGTTTCCCATGTAGGTGGCAGGGACCCCAGGGGCCCAAGCACTTGGTCTTCTTCCTCTGCTTTCCTAAGAGCACTAGCAGGGGGCTGGATTGGAAGCAGAGCAGACAGGACTTGAACCTGTGCTTTGACAGAGGATGCTGATGTTGCAGTTGGCAGCTCAACTCATTGTGTTACAACACTGGTCCTCATGATGGATTCTTATTTTGAATCTTGTAACAAAAACGCTATTGGGCTACAGTAATGTACCCTATTAGCAGAGCTTACTATTAGTACTAAGGATATACCTCCTTCATCACTACAAAGATGTACTATAGGAAAATATTCAAAGTAACTATCAACACCTACAAAAATTTTAAGTATTAATTTTAATGGACCCTTTTTGTTCAGGATTCCTCAAGGAATTTTGCATAAAATGCAAAATCGTGGGTCAGAAACTGTGGTATGGTCCAAGAATCTGAGTTTTACTAAGTGCACCAGGAGACTCTGATGCCCACTGAATTCTGATCTATCAGTTTAAGTCAATTTATCGAGGGACGTGTAAAAGAGGGAAATTGGTCAAAAGTGGGCATCTAGACATTTGGGGCCTATTTAGAATGTCTTATAAAGATACAGTATCATGTGTTTTTGCCCATGCTCTACTCAACTTCATCTGGATCTAATCAGATCTAACTCCCTGGCATAGGACACTGGGGTAAGCACAATGCCACCTTGAAGTACCAAGTCCAGGACAAATGGTTGGTTTTTTCAATAAATGGCATATTCAAAGAGGAACATGGACTTGTTATAGCTAACAAAGTGAACACAACCAATCTAATGCAATGTACATGTCCTACCTAGGATATTGTATAAAGAACTTTGTGATTACCCAGGAACAATGAGCATGAAGTGGTACAGACGACACACTGGTGTGTTCACAGGGAAATGATATGATGTGTGGGTTTTTCTTTAAAATCTCTAGCTCTCTCCTACCCTGCTAAAAAACTGACCATAGGTTGAAAACTATTAAGAGATGGTTGACAGCTACAAGGGAGATGTCTATATTTTTCTCATGTTAGAAAATGTCAACAATAAAAACATCTAAATACTCCACCAAAAATGCAACTGATTCTGAAGAGGCATTGTGAAATCACTAACTGCATGTGATACATTCTAAAGGACTTTATACAGATCGCTCTGAAACAGTATTCTAAACTCTAACCACTAGACAGCTCTGAAGCTGTGTCTGGAAGACAGACTGTTGGATGTGGACTGAGTGTTGGGCCACAGGACTCTGCTGTCCTTATACTATTTGATGGTAGGAGTAGGGAAGAGGGAGAAGCAGAAGAGGAACAAGCTAAGGCATGTTAAAAGAAAAAAAGTATTACAAAACCACACTCACACCAGATCTTACCACTAGGATAAAAATTTGATTTTCAAATAACTAGAAGATCAAATTAAGTACTATACTGCATTACTGATTATTAAACTTTTATATAGCTATACTATAATTGCTCCAGAATTTTGAAAAGCTGGCTTTTGGGGGCAGGTGTTTGGAACAGTGGTTAGGTCACTGCTATGGAAGACTGGGGGCTCCTCCACTTCTGATGCAATTTCCTGCTAATGTTTACCCCAAGAGGCAGCAGACGATAGCTCAAGTACTTGGGTCCCTGCCAACCTCATGGGAGACCCACACTGAGTTCCAGGTTTTGAGCTACTGGTTCTGGCCTGGTTTAGCCCCGGCTGCTACAATCATTGGGGAGTGAATCAGCAGATGGAAGCTCTCTTTCCATCTCTCTTTCTGTTTCTTTACTTTTCCAAAAAGAAAAAAAAAAAAAAGAAAAATAAAAAAGAAAAGAAAAAGAAAAAAAGAAAGCCCTCTTTTCAAATCTAGCCATAGGTTATACCTATGATGGAAGCAGTCTAAATGAACAAAATTTAAGTTATTTAAGTCACAGTATCATGAGAAAGATAATAAGCACACCTGCAGACAGTTTTTCAACCAAGACTGAGTGTAAAACAGAAGCTGTAAGGGTCTCCTTTCACCCACCTTGAGCAATTACAGCAAGTTTTCCTTTTTCTTCAGGGCTGAGTTGCAACATTGTGTCTATAACAGGAAGGAGCCTCTCTCTTTCACTTCCTGGTTTCAGGAAAATGAACTGAAGCAAGACATTCTTCAAGTATTCCAGGTTAGCCACGGACTTTTCTCTCTCCTGGTTCCGTTCCAATCTTCTTATTTCACTTTTGAGAAGCTGGTGTGAGAGAAATGAGTTTCTGGTTAAAAGAGGCAGACTGAACACATGCATTTTATTCTCTTCCTGAAGCCCCCCCCCCCCCCGCCCCCAACCCCGCCATCTAAATGACAATAATGGTGCTACAGGAGAGAACAGGTTGAGAGAGAGCAAGAAACTCCAAGATGATGCAAGCAGGTGAAGAAGCCAAAGTGACTCAGTGCAGCAGCCTGCCAAGGGCCACCGAGTGAAAAATCAGTAAACTTCTGCCTTGGAAGCACAAGGTGTTAGTAAACAGGGGTTGAAAGCTGGTAAACTGACAGGAAGTCAGCATGAGGATGAACTGGAGCCAGAGGGCGGTACAGTGACACTCCCTTCACCCCCTGCTCTACAGAAACCAGGCCAGCAGGGCTCGGGCTCGGGGCTCTGGGTAACAGATGAGCAAGTCTGACAATAGGTGAGAAGACAGGAATTGCTGCCACCTGCCCCGCTCCTACAGCCTCAGGCTGTTACCACGTCCACAGTGAACAGCACTAAATCCAAATAGAAGTCTAGTTCCAGAATACAGTGAGCATTCAGGAACAGTCAATCAATCAATCTCACACACACACACACACACACACACACACACACACACAATGCTGCTGTTGAAGTCTTCGAGGATTCCCAGGTTGAACAGCAGAGCAGTCAATTTTGTTATACTGTTAACATTTAATCTTTTTTAGATTAGTCCAGGAAAGTCAGTCAGCTCCCTCCTGAAGTATAGGGTCATTAAAAAAAAAAAAAAAAAAAGTAAGATCTAAGAAATCATGTCAGAGACTGTAACTGTGGAAATACAACCTTTCACTAAGTCCTAGTGAGTGACTTGTTAGACTTGGTAACGTTTCCACTGGAGAACTATGTTACTTTATGGGGATGCACACTGAAGCTTTAGTGGTGGGAATTCACGGTGTGTACAATGTACTGTAAATGTGGAGTGAACCAGCACTGAAAAAGCTCCTCGGAAAGGAAAGCTGATGTTTTCTGGGCACCAAAATGCAGGAGCACAGACACACACTTTCGAGATGGATGTGAATGTTGTTCCACCACTACTGGTTTCAGTTTTTCTCTCATCGAGTGCTCCCTGGGTCTAAGATATGTAAAGCCTGGGGCATGGAGCATGAGAACTGTTCAAGCACATGACTCGACTCTGAGAGGTGACTCATCAGTGAGTGAGGGTAGAAACATCTCCTTTGAAGGGATGGCGCTGTGGCACAGCGAGTGCAGCTGCTACCTGTGATACTGGCGTCCCATATGGGCACCAGTTCAAGTCCTGGCTGTTCACTTCTGATCCAGCTCCTTGCTAATGGCCTGGAAAAAGCAGTGAAACATGGCCCAAGTTTCTGATCTCCTGCCATCCACATGGGAGACCTAGCCTGGCTTTGCCCTGGCCCAGTATTAGCCATTGTGGCCATCTGGGGAATGAACCGGTGGATAGAAGATCAATCCCTCTGTCTCTCTCTCTCATTGTTTCAAAACAAATATATCTTAAAAAAAAAAAAAAAAAAAGGAAAGAAATACCTCCTTTGCGTCTCTTCAACTGTTCTGCAACACTCCTGGATATTTCTGGTGCTGACTTTAAATAGGAAAATCTTGCTAGGTCACTTCGCTACCTCCACCTACAATCTGGGTTACGTACTTCAGAGCCATAAACAACAGCCGAATGATTTATTTTTAAAGACTGAGAGGGGAGAGAGCACATACGTTGCAGTCTACTGGTTCACTCTGGAGATGCCCACAGTAGTGGGGACTGGGCACGGCCAAAGGCAGGAGTTGGGAACTCAACTGAGGACTCCCACGTGGGTGGTGGTAACTCGGTTGAGCCGTCACTGCTGCCTCCCAGCATGGAGGAAGGAAGCCAGAAGCAGGAAGCCTAAGTCAGGAGTGGAACCGGCTATAGAACCCAAGTACTTAAAATGTGATGTGTCTCTTTTATCACCTCTCTGCATAAATTCACTTTTTAAAAACTTTGTAATTATATACATGCATAATATTTTTGCTAAACTAGGAAATTAATATAATACAGAATTCATGACAAGGATCAAAGTAAGATGGATGTAGTAACATACAGAGGATATAACTGTGAAGAGATATACTTTAAAAAAAATGGCATCCACACATTTTTAAATAGTTTTTCTATATATTAACTTGTACATATGAGAAGAGGTGCAATTTGTCTATGTCTAGGTTATTTCACTTAGTAAAATGATCTCTTATTTCCATTCATTTTGCGGTAAATGTCAGGACTTCATTCTTTTTTTTTAATGGCTGAATCATATTCTATCATGTATATATACTATCATTTTCTATATTCAGTTATCAGCTGATGGACTTCTAGGCTGCTTCTTGCTAATGTGAAATGGGCTACAATAAACATGAGCTTGCAGGTATCTCTTATGCTAACTTCATTTCCTTTGAACATATTCCCAAAAGTGGGATAACTGGGTCATATGGTAAATCTCTTTTTAGGTTTCTGAGGAATCTCCATTCTGTTGTCCATAATGGTTGTACAAATTTGCATTCCCACCAATAATGCATTTTCTCCACATCCTCACCAGCATTTATTTTTTCAGCTTTTCGATAATAGACATTTTTTTTAAAAAATAAGATTTATTTATTTTACTTGAAAGAGTTACACAGAGAAAGAAGGTGAGGAAGAGAGAGAGAGAGGTCCTCCATCCACTAGTTCACTCCCTAATTGGCTGCAATGGCCAGAGCTGTGCTGATCTGAAGCCAGGAGCCAGGAGCCAGGAGCCTCTTCCAGGTCTCCCACATGGGTGCAGGGGCCCAAGGACTTGGGCCATCTTCTACTGCTTTCCCAGGCCATACTAGAGAGCTGGATCAGAAGTGGAGCAGCTGGGATTCAAACCAGCACCCATAAGGCATGCTGGCACTACAGGTCTGGCCCCGGGGTCTTACATTTAGATCCGTGACCAATTTTGAGTTGATTTTTGATTAGGGTGTAAGGTAAGGGTGTTGTTTCAAACTTCTGTGTGTGGAAACCCAATTTTCCCAAGACCATTTATTGAACATAATATCCTTTCTCCAAGGAATTTTGTAAACACATCTGTTAAAGATTAGTTAGTTGTAAATGCATGAATATATTTAAGTTCCTTCTCTATTTCATTGGTCTATGTATTTTTTTTTTAATGCTAGTACCATGCTGTTTTGGATATCATATCACTGTAGCATGTTTTGAAATCTGGTATTGTGATATTTCTGGCTTTGTTTTTTCAAAGTTGCTTTGGTTAACATGGGGTCCTTTGTGTTTTTGAGTTTTAGAACTGCTTTTTTCTAGTTTTGTAAAGAATGTTATTGGTACTGATGGGATTTGTGCTGAATCTGTACATTGCTTTGGACAGTATGAACCCTTTGATAATATTCATTCTTCTAATTCATGACCATGGGAGATTTTCCCACTTTGTTTTTGTGTCTTCTATTTGTTTCAGTTTTGTAATTTTCATTGTAGAGGTCTTCCACATCCTTGGTTAAATTTATCCCAAGGTATTTTCATTTTTGTAGCTATTGTGAATGGGATTATAATTTCTTATCCAGTAGACCACTGTTGGTATATTAAAGTGTCACTGATTTTGTCACCTGTTACCTTTGCTGAATTCCCTTATCAGTTCTAATAGTCTCTTGGTGGAGTCTTGTTTCCCTTATTTCTGAAATAGGGATAATTGGACTTCCTCCTTTTCTGATCTGAATACCTTTTCCTTCTTTATCTTGTCTAATGGCCCTGGCTAAAACGTCCAGAATTATAATAAGAGTGGCTAGAGTAGGCTTCTTTGTCTGGTTCCAGATATTAGTGGAAACTGCTTTAGAGCTTTTACTCATTCAACATGATATTGTCTGGGGTTTGTCACATATAGCCTTTACTATGTTATGTTCCTTCCATACCTAATTTTTATCATGAAAGGATGTTGCATTTTATCAAATGCCTTCTTTGCATCTATTGAAATAATTATGATTTTTATCCTTCATGCAAATTTTATTCTATAATTTCTAGAATTTCTTTTGTTGCTATTTCTAGCTCTTTATTCCATTATGGTCAGGAAAGATACTTTATGTTTCAATATTTTGTGAATGTGATGTAGCATGTTTACTGATCTGTGTATACTGAGTCATGCTTGCACCTCTGGGAAAAATTCTATTTGGTTAGGGTTGATGACCTTTCTGATGTGCTGTTGGATTCAATTTGCTAGCATTTTATTGGGTATTTTAGCATCTATTTTTATCAGAGAAATTGGTCTATCGTCCTCTTTTTTGTTATATCTTTGTCTAGTTTTGGAATTAAGGGAATGATGACTTTATAGCATGAGTTTGGAAGGCTTCCCTCCCTTTCAATTGTCTGGAATAGTTTGAGAAGAGTTAGTGTTACTTCTTCCTCTAACATTTGGTAGAATTCAGCAGAAGCCATCTGGACTTTTCTGTTTTGGGATACTATCATTGATTCAATCTCATTCTTGATTATTGATCTGTTCAGGTTTTCTTTGTGATTCAATTTTGGTTATTATGTTTCTGGAAATTTTTCTTCTAAGTTTCTCAATTTGTTGGCATATAGTTGTACATAACAGTTCCTGACTATTTGTATTTCCATGGGATCCGTTTTAACATCTTTTTTTTTGTTGTTTTCATTGATTTGAGTCTTATTTTTTGGTTAGTCTTGCTAAGTTTATCAATTTTGTTTACATTTTTTAAAAAAGCAGCTCAATTCATTAATGTTTTGTACTTTAAAAAATTTTTATTGTTTACTTAATTTTTCTTTCTTCCTACTAGTTCTACTAGTTTTTGATTTGCTCTTGCTTTTCTAGGTCCCTGAGATACACTGTTGGATTATTTATTTGATTTTTTGATGTAGACACCTATTGAGATAAACTTAAAAAAATATTTATTTACTTAATTGAGAGGCAGAGTTACAGAGAGAGGGAGAGACAGAGAGAAAGATCTTCCATCCGCTGGTCCACTCCCCAATGGCTCTAATGGCTGGAGGTGGGCCCATCCGAAGCCAGGAGCCAGAAGCCTCTTCAAGGTCTCCCATGCAGGTGCAGGGGGGCCCAAGCACTTGGGCCATCTTCCACTGCTTTTCCTGGCTATAGCAGAGAGCTGGATTGGAAGAGGAGCAGCTGGGACATGAACTGGTGCCCAAAAGGGATGCCAGTGCAGCAGGTAGAGGCTTAGCCTACTGTGCCATAAACCTTTAATACTGCTTCTGCAATATCTTATAAATTTTGGTATCCTGTATTTCCATTTTCTTTAGCTTCAAGGAATTTTTAAATTTCTCTTTTGATTTCTTCAATGACCAACTGTTCATTCAGGAGGATGTTCTTCAGTCCATATATTTGTATAACTGCTAGTTTCTTTTGTTGGTAACTTCCAGTTTTATTCCCATGTCATTGGAGAAGATATAAGATTTCAGTTTTTTTTTTTATTAATTTGCAAAGACTTATTTTATGGTCTAGTATATGCTCTATCTTGGAGAATGTTCCATGTGCTGGTGAACAAAGTATATATTCTGCAGCTCTGGGATAGAATGTTCTATAAATTTCTATTAGGTCCATTTGGTCTATAGTATAGATAAATTCTCTTCTTTGTTGATTTTTTGGTCTGGTTGATCTGCCCATTAATGAAAATGGGGTGTGAATTGCTATACTGGAGCTTATGTCTCTATTTAATTTATTAACTTTTTTCATACAATTGTGTGCTCTAGCATTAGATGCATTTACATTTCTAAGTCATATCTTCTTGATGAATTGATCCCTTGATCATTATATAGTAATTCTGTTTTAATAGTTTTTGTCTTAAAAGTCTGCTTTGTCTGATACAGATATAGCTACCCTTGCTCTTATTTGAAAGGCAGAGTAACAGAGAGACTGAGGGGGACAGAGAGAGAGAGAGATTTCCTTCCATCTGGTGGCACACTCCCCACATGGCTGTAATGGCTGAGGCTGGGCCAGGCTGAAGCCAGCAGATTGAACTCCCTTCTGGATCCTCCAAATGGGTGGCAAGGGCCCAAGTACTTGGGTCATCCTCCTCTGCTTTCCCAGTGTATGAGCAGAGAGGTGGGTTGGAAGTGGAGCAGCTGGGACTTGAACCAGAATTCAAAGGATGTGTTACTGCAAACAACAGCTTACCACTACGCCACAGCATGGTATTTTGTTGTTGATTGACTCATTGACTTTTCCCCTGGTTCTTTTTTAATATCTCTCTGGTGAACTTCTCATTCATGTCATACACTATGTATTCTCTTTTGTCTCTGAGTAACCTTACACAGTTGTGAATTCTTTCTCAGGCATTTCATCCATCTCTTTCTTCATGGCCTGACACTAACCCATTACTGTGTACTTCTGGAGCACCATATTGCCTTGCTTATTTGTATTTCTTGTGTTTCTATGCTTGTTTTTGCACATCTGGGGAATCAGCTGTTTCTATCACTTTTAGAGGAAGGATTTTGTTGACTGAAGGCTTCTTGAAAATGTGTTTGGTAGAACACTTTGGCTTTTAATTCCCGTTGGACTCTGTAGCATAACCTCCCAATACCTTTATTTTCTATGGTTAATAGTAGCAGAAATAGGATCTGGGGTGCTCCTGTGGCTCAGTGTGGTTGCTGCAATTCCTGAAATGCAGGTCCCCAGTTGTCTCTTTTCTCAGGCGTTGGGAGCAGGTCCTGCTGGTGCTACCAGGTGGGCCTATGACACAGACTTGCAGCCAACACCCACGTCAGGAGCTGAAGTTGGCGTCACAGCAGGATGGTCACATGGACTCCTAGCCACTGCTGACTCCAGAGCTCTGAAAGTAGCACTGGTACTAGGTGGGAGAGGCAGGTCCTACAGATGCTAACAAAGTGGTGATCATGAAATCGATTTCGTCTGTGAGACAACAGAACATGCAGCTGAAGGCCACTCTCAGTGGACACTTGCTGAGCTGGGTACGGTTGAGGAATCTCAGACAGGCATCACAAATGAACAGCAGCACCCTAGCCTCGGAGTGGCATAGAAGCCCGGGAGAAGGGCTGCAACCCTGAGCCAATATTGGTCTTTTAAGTGGGGTCTGACCACGAGGCTAACTGCCTGCTCCCAGATGACTGACTTTGATTTCTAAGAGTCCATTATTTAACTTTAGAATTTAAGGAACTGTGTCTATTCAGGTTTAAGAGTATGTACATTAACTACCTGTGAACATCTCCCCAATTTCTAAATCTATTATTTTACTTAGAGTAGAAATTAAAAGTCATTACATAGCAGATATAAAAGCAATTAACATCTGTCAGGAATCTAATGTAAAGAATCAAGACACTATGGATGTATGTGAAATATTAATTTAATTTTGTTTAGGTGCAGAGGGTCCAAAAACCAAACTGAAGCAGCGTATTTTCCTGGGGCTGTGTTTTGACCTTACCTTGATTTGTTCCATAAGAACTGCATTCGTTGCCTCCGTTTCCCGAAGCAGGCCGTTTAAGTGATCTGCACTCTTTGTAGTGGAGCTGAGCTTCTGAACCAATTCTTCTCTGGTAAATTCCGCATGCCACAAAGGAGGCTCTGCAAGATGTTGTTCCATGAATTAATTTTCAAAAATCAGAGTTTCAATAAGAAAAACACCTGAATATAAATACCTTACTCTGTTCATTATACATTCATCTATTAAACTTAGCTCAAGTGAAAGATTACATTTTGAACATAATAAGAATCTCTGCTGTAATATATGTAACTTAATTGATTATAAGCCTCAAGAGTCCCAACGCTGAAATCCGTCAGGTTTCTGTTTTTAGATAATTTTATTAGTTTCATTATGTAGCCCCCTCCCTTCTATTAATGTTCTGAAAACACAGTCGTTTCACTTACAAATGAGGGATGCTTAAATCACAGACCTTTACAAGAATCTTCATTGAGGAAGGGCAGATATCAATATATAAATTTTTTTAAAAAACTTGCTTTTGATTTGTTGGAGAGGGAGAGGGAAACAGAGGGAGAGGCAATATCTTCCATCCCTGGGTTCACTTCCCAAATGCAACAGCCGGGTGGGGCTGGGCCAAGCCAAAGGCAGGAGCTCAATTCAGGTATGCCATCTGCTGCCTCCCACTGTGTGCATTTATTGAAGCTAGAACTAGAAGCAGAGCCAGAATCTGAACGCAGACACTCTGATATGGGATGCGAGCAATCCAAGTGGCATCTTAACCACTGTGCCAAACACCGGCACATACAACTTACAGTAAAACTAGCTATAAAACACAATAACATAAGGATGGATCATTTTGTGTAGCGTTTAAGACACACTACATATCTCATGTTGCAGTGGCTGGGTTTGAGTTCTGACTTTGTGCCTAATTCCAGCTTCCTGCTAATGTACACCCTGGGAGGGAGCAGGTGATGTTCAAGTTGGGTCCCTGCCACCTACACAGGAGACTTCAAACTGAATTCTCAGCTCAAGGCTTTGGCTGGCTCAGTCCTGGCTGCTGTGGGCATTCGAGGGAGGGAACCAGCAGATGACAGCTCTCTTTTTCTACTTTTCAAATTAAATAAATAAATACAAATTTTAGAAAAGCTAGCAAAGTGGGTCTGGCATTGTGGCTCAGTGGGTTAAGCCACCGACATCCCATATTGGAGCACTGTTTGAGTCTTGGCTACTCCGCTTCAAAGCCAGCTTTCTGCTAATGTGGCTGGAAAAGCAGAAGATGGTTTAAGTACCTGGGGCCCTGCCACCCACATGGGAGACCCAGATAGACTTCCAGGTTCCTCACAGTGGCCTGGTCTAGCCTACGCCGCAGCAGCCATTTGGGGAGTGACAACAGTAGATGAAGATCTCTTTCTGACTCTCCCTTCTGTCATCTACCTTTCAATAAATCTCAAAAAATAATGGCAATTCCTTTTTTTTTTTTTTTTTGACAGGCAGAGTGGACAGTGAGAGACAGAGAGACAGAGAGAAAGGTCTTCCTTTGCCGTTGGTTCACCTTCCAATGGCTGCCACGGCTGGCGCACTGCGCTGATCCGAAGGCAGGAGCCAGGTGCTTCTCCTGGTCTCCCATGCGGGTGCAGGGCCCAAGCACTTGGGCCATCCTCCACTGCACTCCCTGGCCACAGCAGAGAGCTGGCCTGGAAGACGGGCAACTGGGACAGAATCCGGCGCCCCGACTGGGACTAGAACCTGGTGTGCCGGCGCCGCAAGGTGGAGGATTAGCCTATTGAACCGCGGCATTGGCCGCAATTCCCTTTTAAAAAATCTAGCAAAGTTAACTAAGAAGAACATGTTTAGACAGAGCAACATACCAAGTTTGGTTTCAGGAGAATTAAGCAGCTGCTCTAGAGACTGGGTGTACGTGCCAGCGGAAGACACAGACTCGGTATCCGTTGTCTCCATTCCTTCTCCCTCTTCCCGCGTCACGGTGTGCATATCTAGGAGCGGGAAATCTGTGTTTCTCCTTTCTCGAAGATTCTTCAAAGACTGGTGGGAAGAAGCTGGGCCTATTAAAAATTTTTTTAAAGGGTAAGTGTGAGATTGTTCAACATTGCTGGATTCATCTTTAAAAAGGATACAATGACAACGATCCGGGGGATGCCAAATGATACAGGGAAATTAAATAACTAGAACACAAGAAAATGGTCTATGAAGAAGGAATTGGTAAATGGTCCTAAAATTCTTTCACTGAACTTTTAAACATTTCAGTCATTTCAGAAGTCATAAATTAGTTGCTACACAGTTAAGTTAAGCAGACATTACTGGCATGAAGCTCTTAATTGCTTATTTTTATGAACACAGGTTAGTAGGTCATACTGTTGAAATTCTAAAACTAGATTCCGTGTTGTGGATTAGGCATTTCCGACCATGGCATCTTACTGATACTGCACACTCGCTGACATCTGCCCAGCAGAGGTTACCCTCCGTGGTTCTCCCATCTTCACACCTGCTGGTCCCTAACATGCCTGCTCCCACTCCCATATACAGCATTCAGTCAACAAAGGCCAGAATCCATGGCTGGGAACTAGTGGATCATGTTTCTTGGGCAAGCTTGTCTGTTTGGCTGATAATGATTACTCGCACAGATCTGTAAAGTTTACATGTTTCAAATATGTTACTTCACTGACCCTAAGACACCTGAAGTTCAGAGAAACCTGATTAAATTCTAACCTGGATTTCTAAGCTTCGATTTTCACTTATTTTCTGTTCCATGAAGTTGCCTCTGGGCTGCCCTTTCTGAATCATCTTCCTGGGTTTCTGACATTTGCTGCAGAATTCCTAGATTACAGTTTCTCAAGCGAGCTGTTTCTTCCTGGCTGACCACGTCCTCTGTTGACTCCTGGCATGTGTTAAAATCCTCCTGAAGTTGGGCTTTGACCCTGACAAGTGACTGAGGCTGTCAATACTCCAACAACATTTTCCACAAGAAAACAAAATATCATCAACTTTCTACTGAAGTACAGCACCATGGTTGACACTTTCCCGCCTCCTCTTGGAACTAGAATGGAAGATACAGCGTATGGCTGAACTAAAATTGCGAAAAGTTAGAAATCTGATAGGTAAGACTGTTTTGGCCAAGTAATTCAAGTTTGGTATTGCTTGAGTGTTTCTAAGCCCTTTGTTCTATTTCTAATATTTCTAATTAAAAAATAAATGTATCTGATGACTCACTATGGGGAACATCAAGCAGATCTAATGAATATTAGGACTGGTTCACATGTTATGAGACTGACAGAGTATGTTTAGGTCAGAGAAATACATGGAGGGTAATGAGCACATGAAAATCAGACTCTGTGAGGTTACATTAGGGTTCAAATATCCTTCTGGTAAGTAAGTTCCAAATTCATTATTCACAGAACTGACATCAGCTGTCCCCATGTCCATTTCCAACTTTCTCGTGGACGGGTGAGGGATGTATTTGAGGGAGCACTGACAGCTCCGTGGGTACATACATACTTCTTGTGGTCGGCTCACTCTTAAGCTGGAAGAGCTGGGCTTCCACCTTGGAGAGCTGCTGCTGCAACGTCTCCACTGTTTTTCTGTGCTCTTCCTGCAGATGTCGCACTTGCTCTCGGAAGCTGCTGCGAAGGGCCTCGTTCTGGGACGTCAGCTGACTCACCATCTGCGTGTGTTCGGATTTCATTGTCATATTCTCGGATTGTATGGAACACAACCTGAAAAGGGAGACAGACTCTGTTTCAAAACAGCTTGCAACTCCATATGCTGATTCAGCCTTCCCAACGGGGTTCTGCAAGCAAATTAGCCCTCAGGAATCTACTGAATGCTATCAATCAACTTCTCCCCTGGGCATCTATAGTGTACTAGCTACGCCACTAGCAACCACCTGGGGAGAAATGACACAGGGTGCCTTTCAGTTCAAACCATTTTGTGTTCTACAGCTCAGATAAGGAACCTCAGCTGAAAACCTGTGTTGTACGGTTCAACAGAAAACATGGTCACAATCGGAGTATAAAATAGAATGTTAACCACTCCACTTCTTCATGTCATCTTGGTAGTGGTTCATATAAATATAAGATTACCTTTTTTCTATCACTCAGAAAACGTGATAAAGAATACTTTCACTCAAAAAGAAAGCCTTAAAATTGGAGCAAGAGTTTAGCCCAGCAGTAAAGAAGCCTGCATTCCACATCAGAGTGCCTAGTTCAACTCCCAGCTCTGGCCCAATGCCAACTTCCCATTAGTGGAGACCCTGGGAGGACACACAGTTTGGGAGCCACTACTTTTAATGCAGTTTTAATGTTTTGTATGTTTGGTTTTGGTAAAAAAAAAAAAACATTTCCTTTTTACATGAGGGATACAGAAGTACTTCCTGATAAAAATGTAAATAACCATAAACACAGTTAGTGAAGAAAGTTTAAGTCTGCTTTAACTCACTTTCAACTCCCAGTAGCATAAAACTCTAATTTCAGGGTTAAATAAACACTGTTAACCGGAGTGTAACTTCCCAAGGTTCTGGAGGTATTTTTTCTACCCAGTACATAATGTTTAAAATAGAATTTAGTGGGTAGAGAGAAATGCAATAAAGACACCATATGTTTTTAGAAAAGGTTATCTGAATTGACAAGTTTACATTGATTAACAAGTCAGAGAAGGTTAGTGTATGTCTATTTGTCTGCAAGCATTTTGTTCAATATCCAGCAAGACAGTAAAGGAAGAACCACTGACAGTCACAATTTTCTAAACAAGATAAAAGTTACATCTTAGAGTTAGGGTAATGCTTCTATTCTGGTTTCCAGGTGGTATCAGTGACACTTACCAGTTTAACTACTTAAAAGTGAGATGTCTGAACCCCCACATCCCCCGCCCCTGCCATCTGGAATCAGAATGACTGTTCTGAGGGAAGTTCACTCTTCCATCCCAGTTGTTCCTGGGGTGTTTGTATTAGCTGGGTTCTTTGAGTAATGCAGATATTAACGTTTCAAAAGGCATAGCATATGAAGAAAAAGCCATCTCTTCAAATTAGGGCACAGATGGTAACGATACTATTAATTATCAATATTTCTGAAGAGGGGATGACTCGCAGCCGCTTGGGACTGGTGTTTGGTTCAGTGGTTAAGCAGCCACTTGAGATATCAGCATTACACACTGGAGTGCCCAGGATCAACTTCTTCCTCCGACTCCCATCAACTTCTATCTAATGAGCACCCTGGAAGGCACCAGATGATGGCTCAAGTACTTGGGTCTCTACTACCCATGTGGGAAATCAGGACAGAGTTCCTGGCTCCTGGCTTCGAGTTGGCCCAGCCCTGGCCTTTGCGGGCATTTGGGGAATGAACTAGCAGATGGAAGATCTCTGTCGCTCTGCTTTTCAAGTAGATGAAACGCAACAATTTAAAAAAATTTAATAAAGTGCAAGAAATCTGATATAAACATCAATTATGCATCATTGTTATATATAACAATCTTGGTAAATCCTGGTGAGATATGTAGTTAGAAAACTGGTAGATCTTCTCTTCAACTGTCGGTTTATGTGATTAGGATACAAATTATACTGTTAAACACAGCTGTGTAAGCCAAGAAAGTCCAAGTGTTCTCACTTTTCAGGTTAGGATACTGTAAAATATGTATTCTAAGCAGACCTGTGGTATCCTAACACCCTTGATGAAAGATGCTCAATGAAGAATTCGTTTCCTCAGTGTAAGATAAAAGGAACATTAGCACCAAGTTCTTAGTTGCAGGAGTTCAACATCTCTTGTTCACAATAGCCTATTTATTATGCCAATACTCCTAATGTCTAAAGTGTTGAAAGGATTAACAGAATATGACAAGTTGAAGACAGAGTTGCAAAGATGAACTGCATATTCTTTTAAGCTAGCAGCAGGTGCTTGAATGTTTTCCTCTAGAAACGAAGAAAAATGCTTGTAATTTGGCACCTTGATTGGAAGTTTTTTCCTTTAAGATTTACTTATTTATTTGAAAGGCATTGGTAGAGAGAGAAAGAGAGAGAGAGAGACAGACATCTTTCATCTGTTAGTTCACTCTCCAAATGGCTGCAAGAGCTGAGGCTGGGCCAGGCTGAAGCCAGGGGCCCAAAACTCCATCCAGGTCTCCCACGTGGGTGCAGGGGCCCAAGCACTTGGGCCATCTTCTGCTACTTTCCCAGGCCACAGCAGGGAAATGATTGGGATGTGGAACAGCCAGAACCTGAACCAGCACTCATACTGGATGCCTGCATTGCAGGAACAGCTTAACCCACTGTGCCCTAACACTGTACCAGAAATAGGATTTTGTTTTTTATAAAAGAAACACATTGAGCATGAAGTCTACAGAAAATCTTAAAGACACTAAACACAAAAGTAATCCAAAAGGTAAGCTTTAAGATACAGAGAACAAAGTTACAAAGCCTTCAGACAAGTCTCTTTTTTAAAATTATTATTTAAAAATAATATTTACTTATTTGAAAGGCAGAGTGAAACAGAGACAGGGATGGACACACATGGACACACACACACAGAGAGAGGGAGAGAGAGAGAGAGAGAATCTTCCATCTGCATTCACTCCCCGTGCCTGCAGGCGGCCAGGGCTGTGTCAAGCCAAAGTCAGAAGCTTGGAACTCCATCTGTGTCTCCCATGTGGGTGGCAGAGACTCAAATCCCTAAGCCATCACCTGCTGCCTCCCAGGATGCATCAGCAGGAAGCTGGATCTGCAGCAGAGGAGCAGGGACTCAAATTGGCACTCTGATGCAGGATGTGTGCATCCCAAGTGGTACTTTAATCTGCTGAGCCACAACATCAGGCCCTGTTTCTTATCTTCAAACCTGTATCCCAAGGAACACATCAGGAGTTCTAACACAGAGATACACTACTGCCTGGTACAAACACTGGTACTGCTGCCGGTAACCTTACTTCTCCCGGAGTTCCGCCTCTTTGGACACAGTTTCCTGTAGCATCCTGTTGTGCCTCTCGAGCAGAGCATCGTGCTCGGACTGCAGTGCCTGAAGTTCCGACACATTGACTTGTAAGTTATTCTGGCTATCTTGTAATTTGATTTTCAGTTGGTCAATCAGCATTTCCAGGTGTTGCCTAAAACAGAAACAAACAGTTTAAAAATTGTTTTGAAAGAGGTGAACCTGATTTTGTGGTTTCAAATATACTTTAATCAACTAAACTTTCAATGTCATACTTTTGCTATTAGTATGGATGATTTTTAAAGGAGATATAACAAATAAGAGACTAAGATTAATATACAAAATATGTTATAGTCAGATTTTAAATCTCAAGTACTACAGATTTTAATTTTTAAAATTTATTTAAAAGGCAGAAGGACAGAGATCCTCCATCTGCTGGTTTACCCCACAAATGCCCACAACAGCCAGGGCTGGGCCAGGCTGAAACTGAGCCAGGTAATCAAACTGGGTTTCCCATGTGGGTGGCACGGACCCAACTACTTGGGCCATCACCTGCTCTCTCCCACAGTGTGCATTATAAGGAAGCTAGAAAGAATCGAACCAGGATTCCTTCATGGGCACTCTAATATGTGATGAAGATATCCCAAGTAGCATCTCAATAGCTGTTAAAAATGCCTGCCGTAGTCTCTTAATTTCTGTTTTATATTCAAACAGAACAGACTATTCATGGCATCAAAATAGCTGTTTTTGGGGGACCAGTGTTGTGGTACAGTGGGTAGAGCTGCCACCTACAACACAGGCATCCCATACGGGTACCAGTTTGAGTCCTGGCTGTTCCACTTCTGTTCCAGCTCCCTGCTAATGGTCTGGGAAAAGCAGTGGAACATGAGCCAGGTACTTGGGCCCCTGGATACACGAGGGAGACCTGAAGAAGCCCCTGGTTTCAGCCTGGCCCAGCCCTAGCTGTTGCAGCCATTTTGGGGAGTGAACCAGCAGATGGAAGAGCTCCCTCTTTCTAATTCTGCCTTTCAAATAAATAAAAACAAATCTTGTGAAAAAGAAAGAAAAATAGCTGTTTTTATGTTATAGGATTATGTTCTTAGTTTTTTAAAAAAAATAACCCACAGAGTTCTAAGGTAATAATTACTGGCCAGAGACTCAGAGAACCAAGAAAACTCCATGCTCCTTAGTAAATTACATATAAACTTCCAAGTCAAAAGAAATAAAAAAAATTTTTAAAGATTTATTATTTATTTCAAAGGATCAGTTACAGAGAGAAACAGATAAAGAGACACAGAGAGAGGTCTTTCACCCGCTGGTTCACTCCCCAAATGGCTGCAAGGGCTGGAGCTGAGACGATACAAAGCTAGGAGCCAGTAGCTTCTTCCAGGTCTCACATGTGGGTGCAGGGGCCCAAGCACTTGAGCCATCTTCTGCTGCTTTCCCAGGTGCACTAGCAGGGAGCTGGATCAGAAGTGGAGCAGCCAGGACTTAAACCAGTGCTCATATGGGATGCCAGCACTGCAGGGAGGCTTTATCTGCTGTGCCACAGCACCAGAACCCAAAATATTTTCAACCTTTGTGATGAAGAACATATAGTGTGGGGGAAAACTCCAGCTTTTTAATTTTTTTTATTTAGGAGCAGGTGCTGTGGAGTAGAAGGTTAAGTCTTCACCTGAAGTGCCCAGCATCTCATGGGTACCAATTCAAGACATAGCTGCTCCACTTCTGAGCCAGCTCCCTGCTAACGTGCCTGGGAAAGCAGAGAACAGCCTAAGTCTTTTGGCACCTGCATCCACGTGGGAGACCTGGTTGAAGCTCTTGGGGTTGGGCCTGGCCCAGCCTTGGCTGTTGCAGCCATTTGGGGAGTAATCAATGGATGAAAGACCTCTTTCTCTATAACTCTTTCAAATAAATAAATAAATAAATAAATAAATAAATCTTTTTTTAAAAGAAAGTTTTGCTGCTGTTACACTTTCTAAATGCCTGCAACAGTCAGGGGTAGGCAAGGCCAAAGCCAGGAGTAAGGATCTCCATCCAGGTCTCCCACATGGGTGACAAGAACCTGGGTAACTGGGCCATCATCTGGTGCCTTCCAGGGTGCACATTAGCAGTGGGCTGGAAGTGCAGAGTAGCCGGAGTTAGGACCAGCACTCTGGTCTGTGACTCGGGTGTCCCAAGTGCTGGCTTGACCCACCACACTGCAGCGCCTGCTCCCTGTCCTTTGTTAACTTAGCCTTTACCTTTCTTGTTTAGCTCCCTCAGTTTCAGCCTGAGACGCAGATTTATTTTTCTGTTGTTTTAGAACGTTATGGACTCGGACTTTGTAGCTCTCAAATTCAGAGGTTATAGCAGCTTGTTCTGCCTGTAACATTGAAAAAGAGGAAAACATTTTCTGCTGTAACATCATCTTTCTATTTTCTTTCAGAGATTGGCAAATTGAGATGAAGTGTTCCTGAAAATTAGGAAAAATGGCTGACATCCTTTCTAGCCTCAATTAATTTCTATAAAAAGTAACTCTTCTGTTGGCTTCACACTTTCTCAAAGTCTCTGAATGCTGTAGTTTTGTGTGACCGTGCTTTCTACTCTGGTAGATACTGACAGCATTTGCTTTTAGAACTTCCTACACATAAAGACTTCTTTCTTACAACTGTCCTCCCCCCATGCTTCCCCACGTTTAACGATCTTTAATGCAAACATCAATGTTCAATGCAAACCGTTTGTAGGCCTTGGGACTTGCTTTTCCTTTAAAGATAAGAATGGAGAAATGCAACAAAACGACCTTTCCATTTTTTAAACACTCCCAGCCATTCTTTCAAGCATTATCTATAGTCTCCCAGCCCTCGGACAGGACTGGCTGGCCTGTGCGGGAGGACTCGCCTTGGCGGTGCGGCTCTCCTCCTGCAGGGCCGTCACCTTCTGCTGGTAGGCGCTCAGAGTGCGCTGGTGCTGCTCTGCCGATGTCTTCAGGTGCTCGTGAATCTTGTGTTTCTCGGATGTTATTTCAGCCAGCTGAATCTGGGGGGGTGGGGTTGGGAGGGAGAAAGAATCTTTATTTTTAATTAACTGATTTATTTGGAAGGAAGAGTTACAGAGAGAGCCAAGGAGAAACAGAGAAAGATGTTCCATCTGCTGCTTCACTCTCCAAATGGCTGCAACAGCCAGGGCTGGGCCAGGCCAAAGCTGCCATCAGCAGCCTCCTTCGGTGGGTGCAGGGGCCCAAGCTCTTGGGACATCTTTCCCTGCTTTCCCAGGTGCATTAGCAGGGGGCTGGATTGGAAGTGGAGCAGTTGAAACACAAGCTGGCACTGTGGGTCAAGGCTTAACACGCTGCACCACAGCACCAGCCAAGGAATAAGAATCTTTAAATTTAATGCAAGTAAATGAGATCTTCCCTGGATTAATAGGTTTTCCTAAAACACAAACTTGGGGTTTGAGGCTTCAGTATATGTAAAGTAGTATAACTAAATCGTTGAAAATCTGTTTTTTAAGATTTCCAGAGGCAGAGAGAAAAAGAGTTCAGTGAATGAGTCCCCATCCACTGGCTTACTTCCCGAACGCCTGCAACACGCTGGGAGCCGGGAACTCAACCTGGGTCTCTCACGTGGGTGGCAGGGATCCAGCTACTTGAGCCATCACTGCTGCCTCCCAGGGTGTGCATGGCAGGAAGCCAGAACCAGCAGCGGAGCTGGGATTCAAACCCAGGCCCTCCAATATGTGATGGAGGTGTCTTAACAACTAGCCAAATGCCCACCCAATATTTTTATTTATTATCATTATAAAAGTAGAGACAACATAAATAGAACATTTCCCATTTTATTATATGGAAATTAAAAATGTAATCATGAAAAAATCGAAGATTACATATTTAATTAGATTTTGTACTATTCTATAGTATAGTAATTCTCAAAAACAGGAAAAGAATAGATCTTGAGCTAAAAGCTATATCCCAGTTAATTGCTAAACTCTACTGTTCCTACTTCCTCAAAATGTTAAGAAGATTTTCTAAATATTCACATAAGACAAATTCTTAGAAGATGATTAAAACAATCTATAAGTGCTACATCACTTCTACATGGAAATTACTTTTACATCTTATAAAGTGCAAAGAACCTTACTTTATAGACTTCTACTTGTTGTTGGCTGGCCTCCAGCTCACCCTTCAAAGATGCTTGAAGTATTAAGTGATCAGTTTCCTACAGAATGAGACTCTTGGTTAAATTAAAGAAATACGTTATTCATAAACTATGAATAAATATTAAAATATGAAATCAAGAAATCAACATACTGCTTGCTTTGAATCTGCCAGTTCTTTCTTGGTTTTTACAAGCAATTGCTTGATTTTGGTGTTTTTTTCTTCATATTGTTGCACTGAAGTCTGCAGTAAAGCTAGTATAAGAAATAATTTCAGCAGAAGATGAAACAATTTTACAACTGAATTTAAATACATGAAGACAAGACTTTTCTTTGTATTAACTCACCCATGAAAGAAAACTAGTTTTAGCTTTTCACTATGGAATATTTCAAACATATTTGACAATTTGACAACAGTACATACAATAAACTCCAATGTATCCATCATCCAGCTTGAATAATTCCAACACATATCTCACCCACCTTATTTACTCTGACCCAGACTCAGCTAAGTCTGGCTTATAGGCTTCTTCTGTTATACAGTTTTACTGGACAACACCATGCTCATTCATTTAAATGCTGTCATTCATTTAAATGATTAGGGCTACAAAGGAGGCTCACATAATTATGACAGAGGCTGCATGGCACAGGAAGCATAAAATATTACCAGTTGGTCCTTTGTGAAAAATGTTTGTCTTTGGAGACTGACCTATACCCTCACCTACTTTCTAAGGCCTCACTGGATTATTTTAAAGTAAATCCATCCAGAATGGGACTGGGAATGGGGGAGGGAGGAGGAAGAGGGGTGGGATTGGGGGTGGAAGGTGGGTATGACGGGAAGAATCACTGTATTCCTAAAGTTGTACTTATGAAATTTGTACTCATTATATAAACGGCTTCTTTGGGGGAAATATAAGGTAAATCCATCTATATTCAAACACTTCAGCATGCATCTCTAAAGACAGAATCATATTTACTTCTAAAAGATGGGGATTCCATTGTTACAAAGTGCTTCAAAAGAGATGCTGTTGGGTGCACCAAGATAGATGTGATGATTTTGACCAGAGGCAGGCAACAGAGGAAGAGTGGAGGCAGTGCATTCCCAGGGGGAGCAGTGGGAATTCTATACGAAGCAGACAGACGCCGTGGAGCATGCAGAGTCAACGCACAGCAGCAAGTGCGGACCCCATCTGGATCTCCCGCCCCTGCAGGCTGGTGGGGATGCCAGCTTTTGAGAGCAGACTGTGGCAGCCCTGTTACTGGTGATACTGACTGAGGGACAACCTCGCAGACCTCAGAGTCTGGCCTGGAGCCCCACTGGGGCAGGGGCTGCAGGGACCTCCCTAACCCTTCAGCGACCAGCAGGAAGAAAGCAGCATCTCAGCGCCAACAGAGGATGCAGCAGCTCTCAAGTGCGCACCAGGGGGTTTTCTTAGAGGGATAAATCGGCGTCCCCACTGACTTTGAGTCTGGCTGGGAGGGTTGACAGAGGGCTGGGCACACACCCAGGACTGTGAGGCACTCCCATTCCCCGACCCTATCACAGGCTCCAGAACTCAAACTGCCAAGGTGGAGCACCCACAGGCAGTCGGCCCTGGGAACAGCTCTGCTCTCTCTGTGCATGGAGCAGGCACACAGGGCTGAAAGTAGATCCCCTGTGCCCTATGACTGTGGGAATTCTGCAAATGTACTATAGGGCATGGGGTACAGCCAGGTCTCTGTGCAATCACTGTGGCTGGCCTCAAAGGCTTAGAACTCTGATTGCCTGGGGTGGGTCACTTCAGAGGGATCTGTGCTCACACTGAGGACTGCACAGATCCTTTGTGGGTTCATGTGCCTACATGGGTCAGGGGTTGTAGCCACTGTGGGCTAATCCTAGGCACTGATCACCTTGGAAGAGAGGAGGTGAGGCTGTGGCAACAACAGCAGAAGTGATCATGCCCTCCCCATGCTGACAACAGAGGAGCTCTACCATGCTCAACCTGGGTGTCACCCTGGACTCTTGATCCACTCCTGAGCACCGACCAGAGCTTCCTGGCCTTACCCAGCACATGCACTAGCTATCCTCTGAAGCAGCTGACACTCCACTAAGCCACAGAGGCATACTTCAAAGATAAAAGCCATCAGAGGAGAAAATCAGCAAGTGAAGATGGAGAGACTGATGAAATGTCTGAAAGTCAATTATAAAGAACGACCATAAGATCACTCAGAAAGACACATCAATTCATGAGATAAAGAAAGCCATATACGATATGGATGAAAAATTTTGCTTCGAAGATAGACGTTTGGAGAAAAATCAAACTGAAGTACTTGAAATGAAGAATTCAATATATATCAAATAGAAAATACAATACTGGCTCTGACTTGCTTTTTTCACCCCCAAATTTCTGCTTTAAAGGAGAACTATTTTCAAACAAAAACAATGTGTTTTAAAAAAATGTGTTATGTTTATACCACATATAGAAGTAAAATGTATGACAAAGGACAAAAGAGGAAGGAAATAAAGTATGCTACTGTTAATTTCCTACACTACATATGAAGGGATATAATTTACTTGAAAATAATGTGATACATTCAACAATGTATATTAAAGCCTAAAGGCAACTACTAAAAGCTAACAAAGAGGAACTGCTAATAAACTTATAAAAGGAGTAAAATGGCAGCATGGGAAACAGCCAAGTAATTCCAGAGAAGTAGAAAAAGGAAATAAAGATCAAAACGAATAGGACACAATCAGAAAAGAGGTAGATTTAAACTTAATCACATAAATAATCATGTTAAAATACATGGATTATTTAAATATTTCAATTAAATAACAAATTTTCATGTTGGAGGGAAAAGCAAAACTCAATTACATGCATTCTAAAAGAATACTTCATAATTAAAAGTCCAAGGATTACAAAAGATATGCCATGTAAATAATAAAGAGGGAGTGATTATAAACATCAATTAGTATTAATAGCCAAGAAGACTTTAGAAAAAGGACTAGTAGTAGGGAGAGAAAACGTTCCTCAATATAACACAGGAATGAATTCATTAAGAACTTAACAATCTCAAATGTGCATACAGCCCAATATCAGAGTTTCTAAATACATAAAGAAAAACTGACAGACTGAAAAGAGAGAGATCCACCATTTTAGCTAGAGATATCAACACACCTCTCGAAGCACTAGGTAGAAAAAGTGGACAGAAAGTCATTAAGACTATGCAAGACTCAAACATCATCATTGATTGATTTGATGAAAACTCTATCCAACAACTACATTCTAACGCACTGTTTTCAAGTACATAAGGAACATTCACTGAAATGAAATACTATGCTGGGCCATAAAACAAAGCTCAAATTAAAGGGACATACCGAGTGTGTTCTCTAACTGCAAAGGAAGTATATTAGAAATCATTTACAGAAGGATAACTGAAAAAATTCTTTTAAGTATCTAGAAATTAAACAACATACTTGTAAATAATCCATGGACCAAAAAACTAGTAAAAGAAACTTAAAAATATTCTGAATTAAATTAAAATACAATCACTTTAAAATGAAACGTTCCACAGATTTTCCAAATCTGTTAGTAAATTGCTGGCAAAGAGCATCTTTGTATTACTTAAATGACATCCCTGCATCAGCACCAAGGTGGACCTATAAACTTCTTAGTGGCAAGTGGTTTTACACTGTGTAAACCTTAGTAATGTTTAGCTCTGTACTAAACAACTGGATGGCAGTCAAAGACTGGTGAAACCAACAGCTAATGCCTGTTCCCAGCCCCGACCCACCCCCAATTCTGTGATAATGAAATAATTACAAAGTGAATTTAATTTTACTCACTCATTTCTTCCTGTAGGGTTTCTTGTTTCTGTTTTTGAATTTTTATTTCTTGCTCCAAATCTTCTATTTTGCTATTTTTATTGGTTAACTTTTGATTTAGTTCTTTCATCAAACGTTCATAATCAGCTATTTCCATATTCATTAATGTGGTTTGTTGGGCATCCTGTATGTTTTACAGATAAAAGGTTTATATAATACTGGATCAGTTAATTTCATTTGTAAAAATTTGAAAATTGACACCACAGGAATAAACTGGTTCTATTATACTTTTCTAGAATCTGAAAGTACTATGCACAGTAATGAAGATATGAGAAGTTGGATACATTTTAGTTTTCTGTACAACATGATGTATTTTCTAGTAGTGTAACAAAACTTTCTTGGTTTCACTGTATTTCATCATAACTTTCATTAATCACAATGTTCTTCTGGGGCGTATATTTATGAAATATTTTTAAAAGATATATTTATTTTGGGGCCAGCGCTGTGGCGCAGTCAGTTAACACCCTGGCCTGAAGCACTGGCATCCCATATGGGTACCGGTTCGAGACGCAGCTGCTCCACTTCCGATCCAGCTCTCTGCTATGGCTTGGGAAAGCAGTGGAAGATGGCCCAAGTCTTTGGGCCCCTGCACCTGCGTGGGAGACCTGGAAGAAGCTTCTGGCTCCTGGCTTCAGATCGGCGCAGCTCTGGCCATTGCAGCCAATTGAGGAGTGAACCAGCAGATGGAAGATTTCTCTCTCTGTCTGCCTCTCCTCTCTCTGTGTAATTCTGATTTTCAAATAAATAAACAGAACTCCACCATGGTCTCCCACATGGGTGGCAGGGGCTAAAGCAGTTGGGCCATCATCTGCTGCCTTCCTGGGCACGCTGTAGAATATCTAGGCCTCAAACCAGTACTCTGATATGGGCTGCTGACATTGCAAGCTGTGGCTTAACCCAGTGTACAACAACGCCACCCCGAATTAGTATTTTAAGCAGAGTTCTTATTGTACTTTTCAGTTGAGCCAATTCTTTGAAAAGGTTAAAAAAATTATCCACATTTCTAAGTAGAATATAAATCTCAAGCTTTGACATTCACTTCAGACATTAACTGTTATTTTTTCACACAATGATCATACATAGAAAATGAAACACTGTCAAATCAAAGTGTAATAATTTGTCAACTAGATTCTTATGGGAAGATAGGTACTTAAAGGAGCTAAATTTTCACTTTTTTGAGGCTAAGAATTTATTTAAACACTACAAATATTAACAAATATTCCTTTCTAATATGTATAGTTTAACAATGTGAATATTGACCTTGGTATTTTATTTTACCTTTTTAACTAGCTCTAATTCTTGCATGGTTTTCTGAAGCTGTTTCTTTTCCAGTTGAAGTTGTAGCTGAAGTTCTTCAAGTTCATTTACAGTACTGGTATGTTCCTAAAATTAAAAGTAATAATACAACCAACATTAAAAAGCTCTATGTAGAGGGTTATACATTAAATCTGACACATTGTAATACAAAAAGCTTGGAGTCTTTCAACATTTAAAGCATGGCCTAAATCATAGCTTGGATCCCTAAATTTAGAGCTGTTACACATTAAGGAGTTATATGCTCTCTGCTGCATGCACAATGCTGCTGTTTCCTTCAGGTATTTTGGTATATCACAATACACATGAATCCATCTCACAGGACTGTTTGTACCTGTATCTTCTGCTCTTTCTGAAGTTTTTCTGCTTCCAATTCTTTGTCTACCATTGCTTTGGCTCTCTGGACTTCTAAAATTTGTACTTCTAATAACTTAGCATTGGACTGTAGTGTCTCAATTCGAGCCTGGAGGTCTTCATTATCTGAATTTAATTTTTCACACTGAAATGACAAATGACCCATTACTGTAAACATGTAGGAAATACGCACAGGAGAGGAAGAATAAAAACAGAGAATACTGGCACTGTCCACAAAACACAGCCTTCCAATCAAGCCCACAGAATGGCAATGTTATATGAAGAATGAACTTAAAAATCTGTCATGGTTGATATTTATATGCCATATCTCATAAGAGGCCAGGGATACCTCTAGAGCAAAAGGCATAAATGAAAAAAACAAACAGGAAAAACCCCAGGGGAAATGAGATTAGAGTAAGCAGACAGGATGGCTGCTATCTGTTTGTTGTCAAATCTTCTCAACAGTGGGTAGAATATACATGGTAACTGTACACAAGTATTACACATATTATTAATACTTGTTAATTTAATTTTTCTCAGATACTTTGCTTTATGCTTCAGCCAACTGAGGGTTGGCCTTGCAGCCACGATTGGCACGCAAGCAGCGTCAGTACTGGAGCCTCTGTCTTGGCCCTGCAGAATACCCAGTACACACACAGGACTCAGCTCATACACGGCACTGGTAATTTTTATGTGACAGTATTGGCATTAGAATAGACTTATTGTAATTTTCATGTTTGAATTTCCTCAATTTAACATTACCTGAAAAGTTGAATTTCTTAATTGTTTTGTAAGGTCTTCTATATGATGTTCAAAATTATTAGCACGTTCTTTTTCCACATCCAACTGCTCTGACTGCTTATCGTATTCTAACAAAAGATTCTGCAATATGAGAAAGGTTTAACTGTAGCATGTCACTATGCATTCAGTAGATCACACAGTATCATCAAGCCACCTTGATATAAAATTTCAGAGTTTATTCTGAATACTCAAAAAATATTTACCTAAATTTCACATTTGATGGAATACTTAACTGGCATTAGGGAATAAAATTAGCACAATTCAGGTGAATTTTAGGTTAGGGTAGTATACACCAAAAAAGAAGAAAATAGTAAATGAAGGCCGGCGCCGCGGCTCAGTAGGCTAATCCTCCGCCTAGCGGCGCCGGCACACCGGGTTCTAGTCCCGGTCGGGGCGCCGGATTCTGTCCCGGTTGCCCCTCTTCCAGGCCAGCCCTCTGCTGTGGCCAGGGAGTGCAGTGGAGGATGGCCCAGGTGCTTGGGCCCTGCACCCCATGGGAGACCAGGAAAAGCACCTGGCTCCTGGCTCCTGCCATCGGATCAGCGCGGTGCGCCGGCCGCAGCGCGCCGGCCGCGGCGGCCATTGGAGGGTGAACCAACGGCAAAGGAAGACCTTTCTCTCTGTCTCTCTCTCTCACTGTCACTCTGCCTGTCAAAAAATAAAAAAAAAAAAAAAAAAAAAAAAAAAAAAAAATAAAAAAAAAAAAAAGAAAATAGTAAATGAATATTTAACTCTGGGGTTAAATATTCTACTCATCAAGAAATGAAACATGAACAAATTTAAAGATGGAGGAGAAAAAGTTTAACCTGGACACCTATTAACTTTGCCTGAGAAATTTTGATGAGGAAAACATTTCAAGACAGGTGTAATGAAAGGGGGAGTGCTAAGTGAAGGACATTACATAAATACAGTCTACTAAACTATGCAGCAAAACTTCCAATACTTTCTGAAGAACTAAAACCAACTGAATTTCTTTCTCTGATATTTCTAGTTGGCCTACTCAGTCAGCCCACACTGACATTTTCTGTTATACAGCAGTTAATTAGGCCATTTCTTAAAGTACATGAGTCAAATGTAAATTTGTAAATGGCATAGAAATTTACATATGAAAGTAGGATACAGATTTGGTATCCTTTATATAGAAAGGGGATTTATAAATCTATTTTTAAGAGCCAGGCACAGGTTCTGAATGTCTGACCACAATCACATGTCCCTCAGACTTCATTATACCTGTGACAAAACAAAACAAAAGCCCTTCAAAACATTTACTTAAAATTTACACATGGACATATTCATCTTTTAGAGCCACTATGTAGTCCAATCTAACAATCTTTTCCTTCATAATTTTTTAGATTGTTTTTACAAATATGTTGACTTATTTGAAAGGCAGAGTGACAGAGAGGGAGAGAGACAGGGCTGGGCCTGGCCAAAGCCAGGAGTCAGGAAGTGTCCATGCTTGCCACGTGGATGGCAAGGACTCAAGCACTTGGGTCATCATTGTTGCCTCCCAGGCACATCAGCAGTAACCTGGGTGGGAAGCAGAGGCAGGACTCAATCCCATTTGGATATAGGATATGGCCATCCCAAGCAGTGGCTTAATCAGCCGTGACACAACACCTGTCCCTTAATTGCTTTTAAATTTTTTTTTTTTTTGTTTGTTTGTTTTTTTTTTTTTTTGTTTGTTTTTTTTTTGACAGGCAGAGTGGACAGTGAGAGAGAGACAGAGAGAAAGGTCTTCCTTTTGCCGTTGGTTCACCCTCCAATGGCCGCCGCGGCCGGCGCGCTGCAGCCGGCGCACCGCGCTGATCCGATGGCAGGAGCCAGGAGCCAGGTGCTTTTCCTGGTCTCCCATGGGGTGCAGGGCCCAAGCACCTGGGCCATCCTCCACTGCACTCCCTGGCCACAGCAGAGGGCTGGCCTGGAAGAGGGGCAACCGGGACAGAATCCGGCGCCCCGACCGGGACTAGAACCCGGTGTGCCGGCGCCGCTAGGCGGAGGATTAGCCTAGTGAGCCGCGGCGCCGGCCTTAATTGCTTTTAAATTTAGAAATACCTTTAATCCACAAGTCAGTTAAAGGATCAAGTATTTCATTCTAGTTTTTTTAAAAAATATTTTTCACAAAATTAAAAAAAAAATTATGTATTCATTTGAAAGAGTTACAGTGAGAGGGGGAAGAGAGAAAGTCAGAAAGCCTCCATCCACTGGTTCATTCTCCAAATGACTGCAATGGCTGGGGCTAGGCCAGGGTGAAGCCAGGAGCCTGGAACTTAATCCAAGCACTTGGGCCATCTTCTACTGCTTTCCTGGGCAAATAAGCAGGAAGCTGGTCCAAAGTAGAGCAGTCAGGATTTGAACCAGCACCCACAAAAGATGCCAGCATTATAGGCAGTGGCTGACCTGCTGTGCTACAACAGTACCCCTCATAAAACTCTTTAATCCATTCAGAAGTTACTTTGGTACATGGAGTGAAATTAAAAACCTGACTAGATTTTTCTCAGCTGTCTAATTCCTTCTTCATTGGCTTGTGTCTTTAAATTTTCAAATCATCCTTTGTGACTTATTTTCATTAGGAAATCCAAAATCAGAATTTTACTTTTAAAAGCTAGTATTTTAAAGGCACTCTTCAAAGCTTAACTGTAAAACCTCAATTTTTACTACACTGTACAAACAGAAAAAAAAATACAAGGTGACTATTTTATGGAGAAGAGTTTCAGATTTTCAGTACATTCATTAACTCAGAAGTGACAAATATAACTTGCTACTAGAAAACCTATTTACCTTATAGCTTTCCGCTCCTTGGATGAGATCTCTGACGGAAGCAGACAACTGATCCTTTTCTGACCGAACAGATTCAAGTTCTTCCTTCAGATTCTGGGCCTATTTTAAATACACGGTAAAGTTAAAAAGTTTTCAAGGAGATAAAAATTCCTGGCTTTCTAAAACATGATGCCTGAATCTTACCTCTTTCCTGCTAGAATCTAGTTCTTTCTTTGCCTTCACAGCAACTAGTTTTATCTTACTTATTTTCTCCTCTTTCTCTTTGGATTCTTTTTCCAGATTTCCTAAAAACAGACAACAAAAGGATTATTCAGTGGTAAAGAATTCAATAGGAAAATGGAATTAAAACATATACTTTGGTGCTGAAACATTCTTGAAATCCATGCATGGGGTCTCACAATATGTATTTTTCACGAATCTACTGAAGACTCCCTTGTTGTATAAATTTAAAAACAATTTTTTCCACCAAAATAATCATTTAATTCCATTTTTTTCTGTGAACTTTATGAAGCATACTTGTTTGTGAACTCAAAAGTAAGAAAAAAAATCAAAATTATTTGCTTAATTTAGCTCAGACATTGCTTTTTATTTTGAGAACATATAACAAACTTTCTTTTTTTAAAAATTAATTTATTTATTTGAAAGGAAGTTAGAGAAGGAGAGACAGAGGCAGATCTTCCATCTGTTGCTTCACTCCTCAAATGGCCTCAACAGCTGGGGCTGGACCAGGTAGAAACCAGGAGCCTGAAACTCCATCTGGATTTCCCAAGTGAGTGGCAGGGGCCCAAGCACTTGGGCTATCTTCTGCTGCTTTCCCAGGCACATCAGGGGCCTGGATTGGAAGCAGAGTAGCTGGGACTTGAACCAGCACTCCAATATGGGATGCTGTCATTGCAGGTGGTAGTTTAACAAGCTATACCACAAATGCTGATCCCTATAACATCCTTTTTAAGTGAAAGCTTAATTACTCATATGTAAGTGAGACAAGCAAGTAACTTTCATTTTCTTCAATACTCTGTGATACTTTTTTGAAAGTATCTAGGAATTGGAGACACTGTTGAACTCCTTTAATGTTAGATTTCATATGCCAGCTTAGGTGGTGGTCTACAGATCAGGATCAAGCAGATATTGGGTGTGGATAAAAAGGCACACCCTTCTTGGTTAGTGAGTCTGAGTTTTATAACTAATAACTAAGTCTGTAATGTTTTATGCATCCAATCGTGATCCCCCACAGCCGTTTTTGGCCACCTCCCTAATTAAATTCCAGTGTTGAAGACTTTACTTCTTGGTATTCTTATTTGACTTATGATCTGAATTTCTGTCCTTGTGTATCAGTCTACTTGCACCTGTGCTTCGTGGCTGCCACCTACAGTTGAACTGTATGTGTTCTGCACTTCATTCCACCCTCTTCACCTATTCCAGCAACAGAGGAGGAATTTCCCTTCCCTTCTATGTGTCAGCTTCCCCTTTGAGTGAGTTTCTCTCACCAGTTTATAAATATGCAGCAAGGAAGATATCATCAGGAAATTAAGGTCAGGAACCTTGGAACCAGTGGAAGCAGATGAAGACAGAAAGGAGGAGATCATGATAGGGCAGGTGAAATATCTCACCATGCTGTCCTTTCCTCCGATAAAAAATAAACCATCCTGCCCCTTTAGATACTGGCCCATCTCTTGTATATCACAACTCCTTGCAAGAGTTGTCTATAACTGCTCTGAAACGTCTCTTCCCCTTTCATTTCTGGAATCCACTTCAAATAAGCTCTGGGTCAGAGTCCCAGACACCAACTTCTATGCTGATGAGCACATGGTCAACCCATCAGCAGTACAGGCCAGGACTAAACATTTTTTTTTCCCATTTTGAAGGACTTCTTTCACTTGTCTTTAGAATTTTTTTTTTTTTTAAAAGATGTATTTATTTATTTGAAAGGCAGAGTTACAGAGGTAGAGAGAGAGATTGTCTATCTGCTGATTCACTCCCCAAATGCAATGGTTGGAGTTGGAACACTCGCGAGCCAGGAGCCAGGAGCTTCCTCTGGGTCTCCCACACGGGTGTAGGGGCTCAAGGACTCAGGCCATCCTCTGCTCCTTTCACAGGCCATAGCAGAGAGCTGGCTGGATTGGAAGTGGAGCAGCTGGGACTCGAACCAGCACCCATAAAGGATGCTGGCACTGCAGGCGGTGGCTTTACCTGCTATGCCACAGTGCCAGCCCCAGCTTTAGAATGTTTTATGCTCTAGGTTCTCCTAATTTATGGGGCTCCTTCTCAATCTTCCTTGTTGTGACTCCCTCCTCTATCTTTAAAGGACAGAGAACTGTCTCTGGTTCTCATCTTTTTTCTACACTCTTGGTGATACTCAATCTTGTGACTCTTAATACCCACTACTTAACAAATGTTTATCTCTAGCCTTGCTTTTCCCCTTATTTCTGGATATGCATGCCATTCTGTGTGACATCTCTGCTTGGATTCGTATTTAAACTTGTCTAAATCTGAGCATCTGAGCTTCCTGACCTGCTGCAATCACACGTTACAGAAAACTGGGAGTCATTCTACTCTTCCACCCCCACCCCCACTCTAACTGGGTGTTACACTGAGGAACCATGAGCACATTATATACAACACTGTGTCCCTGTCCTCATCTCACATGGGAGTGAATGTTGCTCATGAGGAGTAAATGGCTACGCGTAAACCACCAATTCTTCTGTGTATCACATAGCACACTGCGGTGAGGTTCCTGGCTAACTTTCCAAGAACCTCCCAATATATTACTTGGTATTGCTTATGTTAACACACAAATATCTACCATTGCTTCTTGCTAAAATGCCAAACTTTCGTGTTCAATTTCTCATTCTTCAATACCCAACTGAAGGCCCTATTCTGTGATGTTTTCTTAGGTCCTGATTTGAAACAGGCAACTTCCTGTGCTGTTAGTACTGCACCAGCCTCTCCTGACAGCTCTTTGAGCACATGGTCCACACCTTATTCATCTCCTTTCTGTTGCCAGTAACTAAACAGGTGGGCATTCAAATAAAGACTGTTAAATGAATGAAAAAATTTAAAAAAAATTTGTGGAACCATTTATACAGTGAAATTTGTGAAAGGAAAGGCACACAGATGGCAGGAGACGGGAAAGGAGGTGTGAGGTAAGGACTGCCACTTAACAACTCACTACCTGGCCTTTACAGTTCCCACTCTATTCCAACAGTAACAAGAATTTTTCTAATCAATTTGTGACAACATTTATAAAAGTGTAATTACCGATTTTTTCTTCCAGATCTTTCACTGAGGAGTGTTGATCAGTTTTTATATGTGTTTTCTCTAAAGAATCCTAGATTTTATAGGGAAAACAAAAACAAAAAAGAATTCATTTCATCCCCCATGATGAACTGACCATCTTATTAAGCATGAGAAAATCATTACCGAAGAGAATTCGTACAAAAAGTAATCTGGTCAACAGTCTTTCTTCCTGTGACAGAGCAGATAATACTGACCTATTATGCATCTGGCATGTACTAGAAACAGCAGTATCAAAGGCCAAGATGAACAACCTTACACATACGTAATAAGGAAAAGATGAACTGGTCATTATCATACTTTCAAAACATTTTTTTTTTTTTTTTTTGACAGGCAGAGTTAGACAGTGAGAGAGAGACAGAGAGAAAGGTCTTCCTTCTGTTGGTTCACCCCACAATGGCCACTGCACTGCGCCAATCCGAAGCCAGGAGCCAGGTGCTTCTCCTGGTCTCCCATGCGGGTGCAGGGCCCAAGCGCTTGGGCCATCCTCCACTGCACTCCTGGGCCACAGCAGAGAGCTGGACTGGGAGAGGAGCAACCGGGACAGAACCAGCGCCCCAACTGGGACTAGAACCCAGGGTGCCAGCGCTGCAGGTGGAGGGTTAGCCAAGTGAGCTGTGGCGCCGGCCCTCACAACATTTTTGAGAAAACCCTGCAATTTTAGCCAAAGCGAAATACCACTACAGCCAACTCTTCAGATTGACAGTGCAAAAAGAAAAAAAAAAAAAAAAAATCTAACCAGACAAAAATGACTTACGTTTTTTCATATCTAAATGGTTTCCCACTAACCAGCTATACACTTTTGATCATGATATTTAAATGTCTAATCATTTAATCTTAAGTTCAAAATTTTAAAATGATCTCAAGTGAAAGAAGAAATCAGTATAATTAAACAGGATATACTGTAATAAAATGTCTAATGTATTTTTCAGAAATGTGTCATTTGAGTTTAAATACTTTTGACTTCAAACCATAAAAACATTTATATTTATATTTTCTAGTCTATGACAAGAACTAAGAACTTGAATTAAGTAGTACCTTTAATAACATCAACTCTGCTCTCACATCTTGTAATTCAGATTCTTTTTGTTCCAGTGATGACCTTAGGTTTTCATGTTCCATTATGAAAGAGTCTTTTTCATTATGGGTTTCATTTTTGTCATACTTTTGAGACAATTCTTCAACCTGAATTAAAAGATTCTGATTTTCAAGCCTTGTTTTTTCATTGGCATTTTTCATTTCTAGAAGATCAAATTGCAGAGACTCCTTTTCTGCAATGGTTTCTTCTAACTCTCTCCTTAAGAGAGCTTTCTCTTGCTCATAGTCTCTTAATAAACATCTAAGTTCTTCACATTGAACTACATTCTCTTCCTGAAGGAACTTAATATTTTTTTCTAACTCTAATACCTTTTCATCATATTGAGAAGACAAGTTATGTTTTTCCTCATTTAATTTTGCTAAGGCTTCACCTATGGCTTGTAGGACACTTATAGCATCTTGCTCTTCATTTTCTTCTGAAACTTCCGATCCCATCTGTTTAAGAAAACCATACAACTGTGTTTTGACAAATAACTTCTGAGCTTGTTCATTTTCAAACAGTTTACTTAAATCGTCTCGCTCTTCAACTGTTAACTGAAGCTTCTTTTCTAATTCAGTAATATGTTCTTTAAGGCTAACATCATCTTTTCCAGATAAAAGAGCTTCCAAATCCTTACTCAACTGGTTCTTTTCTGAACTTAGTCTATTATTCTCTTCATTAAGAGACTTCACTTCAGATGCCAATGCTTCTTGGTCTTCAGAGAGAGTTTTAACTTGAACCATTAGTTTTTCTACCTGCTGGTCATTTTGGTTCTTTTTTTTTAAAGTTTCTTCTAGCTGTCCTGTTAATTCATTTACCTTTTGCTCTAATTCACTGTTGTACTGGGTACTCTGTTCCACTTTCTCCTCAAGTTCTATAATCAATCTTTCCTGCTTTTCACATTTTTCATGGAGATTATCTACCTCTTCATGAGAATTTTTTATTTTACTTAGGAAATCATCCTTTTCCTCAGTGAGGGAGTTTATCTTTGCTTCCAATTCTTGCAACATGGTATCTCTCTGACTGAGGCTAACTAAGTACTCTTCATTCTTTTCTTGAAGGCTCTTTATGGTATTTTCAAGTTCTGGTACTAATTCTTGTAGAGACAGTAACTTTTCATTTTCTCCTTTGAGCTGATTCACAGTTTCAAGAAGAGCATCTTTCTCATTGAAAGCAGTTCTGAGTTTCTGCTGAAGTTCATGAACATCAGATGCTTGTTGCTGCTTCATTGACTCAAATTCCTGACTTATTTTTCCAGCAGATTCTCCCAGTTCCGTCTGTAAAATTTCCATAATCTCTCGCAAACTCTCATAATTTAAGATTGCTTCTTGCTTTTCTTGCTGTAGGTTTTCACATTGTTCTTTAAGGCCCTGTATTTCAAACATTAATGCTAATTTTTCTTTCTCTGAACTTGACAGAAATGTTTCATTTAGTTCTGATATTTCTTTTTGATATTGATCCTTAAGACTCTGTACTTCTTTGTCATGTTTTTCTACAGTACAGTAAAACTGTCGATTTAAATCTTCTAGCTCAGATTTTAATTTTTCAATTATACAGCCCTGATCTTCTTTAGCTAGTAACAGTTCATTAATTTTAAACTCTAAGTCTTCCCGCTCATGAAAAAACTCATCCTTTACATGTTGGGCATCCATTTCAAGTTTTAATTTAAGATTATTCATATAGGTTACCTCATCTTTTAATATACTATGTTGAGATTCCAGTTCTTTTAAGGTATCTTCTAAGTGTTTGACTTTTTCGTTTACTACCTGGTCTACAACAGTATCTTCTTTTAAGAGCACAGAACATATCTGACTTTCCTGGCTTGCATTTGAGGTGGCTTTCTTCAAGTTTTCTAATTCACATTCATATTTCTCCTGAATATTCTTCTCACTTGCCTCACACTGCTTTACTAAGTTTTCGTTTAGTTGGTTTAACTTATTTATTTCTGTTTCATGCTCCTTAGCTGATGTTTCAATTTGGCACATCAATTCTTTGACCTTTTCTTGGTGTGTAGCTTTCAACTGGAAAAGCTCTTCTTGCAAACTACTTATATCTTTTTGGTAGTGCTGAGAATTAGACTCAATAACTTTTTGGAGGTGAGCAATTTCTTGTTTCTTTTCATCAGTCGTAGCTTCTAACTGCTTCTGTAAATATAAAATTTGCTCCTCAAAAGCTGGTCTAATTTTCTGTATTTCTTCTTGTAGCTTTTTAACATTATCCTCAGAGTCACTCTGAATTTTAAGTTGTTCTGAAAGTTCTAATTGTTTATTTATTGCTGCTTCCAGTTCTTTTTGCAAGCTAGCTTTATCTTCACTGTGTTTGGAATGTACTGCCAACAACTCATTTTTCAGAGTTTCAATTTCTTTCACGTAGTGTCTATGTGACTGTTCAAACTCCTCCCGCACATCTTCCATCTTAGTTACAGAATCCTATTACAAAATAAACACATATAAATTATTTAAGTAAGGCAAAAGAAAGCCCTGCCCTCAGGAAAAATATGATTCTTAGGCTAACTACAGAAAAAAGGAAATGAGCAAAAACAACCCTAGAGAAAGAATGTATCTGCCTTCTTAAGTATTGAATCTATCATTTCAAGTAATAATAACTAGAAAATCTCTGAATTTAATTTTATTTTAAAAGGTGATAAATTATGTAAGCTGTATAAGTCATAAAGCTTTTAACTAACAGCTTCTGAATAAATAGACTTTTTGGATAAAATTAGCCCAGATCTAACTGGCAAGAAAGCAAAAATATGACAATGAATATCCTTGAATTGAATAAGTAATGTGTTATATGTGAAATCAACTGTTCCCCACCCCAACTTTTATTAAAGAAAGACATTACAGCTTTAAGAAAGATTAAAAATGCAACAAATAAATGTTAGTTCTATCTCTGTATAGTCAAGGGATTTCACCTACTTTTCTTTTCACTTTAAAAAATTTTTATGTAATTATTTTCGTTTTATTTGAAAGGCACAAAGACAGAGAGATTTTATACCTAATGGTTTATCTGCCAAATGCCTCCAACAGTCAGGGTTGAACTAGACCAAAGCCAGTATCCTGTACCTTAATCCACATCTCCCATGGGGGTGATGGGGACCCAGGTGCTTCTTCCTGCCTTCCGGAGTACACAGTACATTCACAGGAAGCTGGATGGGAAACACAGTAGCTGGGACTACAGCAGATGATCCAACATGGGTTGTGGCTACCCTAATCACTGTGCTACATGCCCACGCCTCAGTTCCTTTTAAAATCCTAAGTTGTCTCTTTGTTCATGAAATGTAAAAATAAAATTAGATGTGTCTTACCTCAACCTCTTGCTTCATTTTAATATTTTCCTTCTTTAGAGAAAGACACTGCTGTTCACTCTCTGCTTTCTCCAGGAGAACAGCATCCAGACGTTCGGTTAGTGCCTGTTTTGGAAGATCATATGTTGCCTGAGGTTAAAAATATTCTGGATTGACCACATGCATCTTTTCACATTTGCCAAACATGTGAAAGTGTGAATAAAATTTAAAAATATATAAACGTGAGAACGAAGAGAAAAGGAAAAAAAGACATGAGGCTATGAAAAATTTCAACACATTTTTGGAAAACGAACAGTGGAAGAAAAAAGAATTGAACTAGAAAAAAGAAGAAAGATGTAACTGAAGGACAATCACAAGGAAGTACACAGGAGGAGCTGGCAAACACTCCCAGAAATCAGGTGCTTAGGACTGGAGACATCAAATATTTGGTAAACAAAGTAGAACGTTTGGGGTTCAAAAATGGGGAAATGGCCACCTCACTATCTGCTGTGAAGCTAAGATTATTCCCCTAACTACAGTAGCTCTTAGCTCTTTAAAAACTTTTAAGAAAATTTAATCAGTTCTTAACAGATTCAACGCAGTTCAGTTACAATTCCAAGAATATAATGATATAATGATATTTCCTTCCTCACACCAGACCCCCTCTCTCCTTTTTTTTTTTTTTTGGTTTTTGAGATAACATATTTTAAATTTTCCTTACAGTAAAAAGGCTTAATGCTTCATGGAATAAGAAATTTAACAAGCAAAAAGACCCTATTTTATTGGGACTACAGACAACCGTTATAAAAACATATTTGAATGGAAAAATGACTCACTCTGTGGGGAGCAACCCGGACTAGACTAAGTTACTGGAATTAAGACTTATTCTATGCATCTGCTCTCCCACAATATGGCGCTGAGAAGGGAGTAACAACTTCTACCCAGCTGCCTCCAGTTCAACCAATAAACAGCAGGACCTGCTCCTGATTGGAGGAGAGCAGCGTACTCGGCGTGTGGGTAGCAGAGTTGGGATTGGTGGAAGAGGACTATAAAGGAGGAGAGAGACAACATGCACCAGGAACATCTAAGGGGAACATCTATCTGAAGGAACACCTGTGCAGCCCCCGAGAGAGCCAGCCGGCGGTGTGCCGCTCCCCTGCGGAAGTGGGCAAAGTGGCCAGGGGGAACCGCCCTTCCACGGAGGTGGAAGGGACGGCAGCCAACCCAGGAAGAACCAGCAGCAAACCCAGGGAGGGCCGAGCAGACAAAAGAACAGCGCAGGGTCCTGTGTCGTTCCTCCACGAAGACGGGGAGCGACACACTCATATACAGTAAATTTTAAAGTGATCATTAAGACATTCTTTTTTTTTTTTTTTAAATTCTTTAACAGCCCAACAGTTGCTGCTGGGCCAATCAGAAGCCAGTAGCTTCCTCTGAGTCTCTCAAGTGGATGCAGGGGCTCAAGCACTTGGATCATTCTCTACTGCTTTCCCAAGCTATAGCAGAGAGTTGAACTGGAAGAGGAGCAGTCAGGACTCAAACTGGCGCCCATATGGGATGCTGGTGCTGTAGGCAGCGGCTTAGCTCACTATGCCACAGTACCGGCCCCTAGCATGACATTCTTAACCACTGTTTAGACAAAGGTATAGCACAAAATTTTACAAAACTGTACTTGCAACAATACTGATATACACAGGCATTCCTTTGTTTCTTGATTTGTTTCTTTCTTTCTTTTTTTTTAATTTTAACTCCACATATAAGGGAAAACATGCAGTATTCATTTTTCTGTGTCAAGCTTATTTCACTCAACATGATGTCCTCCAGCTGCAAATGGCAGAATTTTATTTTTTTATTGCTGAATAATATTCACCAAATAATATTCCATTGTGTATATGTACATTTTCTTTATTCATTCATCTGATGATGGACACCTTGGTTCATTCCAAATTTTGGCTACGATACCTTCTGCAATTAAAAAAATTTGGGAACTGGGCAATAATGGGGACAGAGTCACCAGAAGAATAGGCAAGAAATAACCAAGACAGGTTTATTCTCTTGAACAAATTGGATGGGAAAGGAAGTTAATGAAATAGAAAACCAATCAATAAGTCAAAATCAGTTAGTTGAAAAAAATATGCAACCTCTGGCAATACTAATCAAGAGAAGCCAGAAATCATGATATGACAATAACAAAAAAAAGTCTCTGTATAGATCAGAGATTAGTTGAGAAAATATGAAGCAATTATTTATAATACTGAACACAAATGAAATGGATGGGGCCAGTTTTGTGGCATAGTGGGTAAAGCTGCTGAGAGCGGGCATCCTATATGGATGCTGGTTTGAATCCCAGCTGCTCCACTTCTGATCTTGCTCCCTGCTAATGCACCTGGGAAAGCAGCGGAATATGGCCCAAGTGCTGGGGTCCCTGCATCTACATCATGTGGAAGACCTCGAAGAAGCTCTTAGCTCTTGGCTTCAGCCTGTCCCAGCCATGGCTGTTGTGGCCATCTGGGGAGTGAACCGGCAGATGGAAGATCTCTCTCTCTTTCTTTTCCTGCCTTTCCAATAAATAAAATAAATCTTAAAAAAAAAAAAGTGAACAAAAATTTCTAGAAAAATACAGCTTTGATGACTCAAGAAAAGTTATACGGCATAATACTGTATCAACTTAAAAAAAATCAAACCAGCAGTTAAAAACAGTCCACCAAAGGAAAGAGATGGTTTTACAGGTGAGGCCTCTCAAATTTTTGAAGAGTGGACAGATTATATCCATTCCACACCAACTTGTCCAGACAAAAACAAGAGTAATTCCTATGTTCTTCTATAAAATCAGATTAACTTGAAACCAAAATCCAAGTATTTCACAGAAAGGAAAAAGCAAAGCCTTATTTTACCATGAATCTAGATGCAAACATAATAGAAAAATTAGTCTGCTATCTCCATCAACACTATATCGAATTTCCCAGCCAGTGAAATAGACTGTAAGAAAGATACATGAAAGAAAGGTAGAGAAAAACTGTCTAAAGATGGTATGACTGCTTAAATAAAAACTCCAGAACAATCTCAATTAGAAACATGTCAGAGTTCATAAAGGAGATAGAAAATTAATGGGCTAAGTAAGCTCCATTTTGAGTATCAGTAGAAAATAATTAGAAACATAATTATAAAGAAGTTATTATTTACAACTTTGGTATCAAAGAATTAGCAAGAGTTTAAGAACAACTTTACCAAAAGATGTGAGAAAAACTTCCACAGGGAAACTACAGATTTCATGCAATCCCAAACAGTTCCAACAGGCTTTTCATGGACTCACATGATTTCAAATGCATACATCAGAGTTCAGAACCAGGCAGGATACTTTTGCATCAACAGACAGAGGTCTTACTCTATCAGGTGTCATGATCTAACAAAAAGCTGAAGAAAAAATAATGAGGACAATACGGAGCTGGCAAAGGGACAACCAACGGGAAGAGGAGGAGGAGTCTGGAAACCAATCCAAATTTAAACACAAATATCAATACTACATCTTTAAAACTCCCCACATTAGACTAGAGGAAGGTTCCTTTAAAAAAATATAAGTAAAAACACTGATTTAAAAAAAAAATAAAAAAGGAGGGGCTGGCATTGTGGCATACCGGGTCACACACAGACACCGGCATCCCACACAGAAACCAGTACGTGTTCTGGCTGCTCCACTCTTGTAATCCAGCTCCCCCCCGCTAATGGCCTGGGAAAAGCAGCAGAAGATGGCCCAAGTGTGTGGGCTCTTGCCACCCATGTGGGAGACCCAGATGACGCTCCTGGCTTCTGCATGGCCCAGTGCTGGCCATTGTGGCAATCTGTGTAGTGAACCAGTGGATGGAAGATCTCTCTCCACCTCCCCACCCTCTGACATTCAAAATAAACAAGTAAATCTTTATTTTCAAAAAAAGAATGTCTGACCATATAAAAAATTAAGACCCCTTGTTTCAAGATACATGTAGGGGCCTAGCAGTTAAGCTGCCAGAATCCCCTAACAATTTGTCTGCATTTGATACCTGTCTCCACCTCCAGACTCCAACTTCTTGCTAATACAGACCCTGCAAGGCAGTGGTGACTTCTCAAGTAATTTGGTTCCCATCCACACAGGAACCTTGGATTAGGCTTCATGGCTCTCAGCTTTGGCACTGGCCCAACCCCAGCCATCAAAGGTACGAAGGGAGTGAACTAGGATATGGTAGCTCTCTTTACCTGTGCCTCTCAAATAAATAAATACTGTTTTTAAAAAGATGTAAGAAATGAAAAGACAAGCCACAAACTGGAAGATACTCATTAAGAAAGATTATCATAAAAAATGACTGCTGGAACTAATAGTAACTTCAATCAAGACCACAATGACCTAACATTTTACAATTGCTTGATTTACAAAAATTATAACATATGACAACACTCAGTGGCTTGAGATATATGAATCTATAGGAATACTTGCACATGGCTGATCAAAGTGTACATTATTTGACATGCATGTGGTATGATGTGATCTCCTAAAGTTGAGCCTTCATGTAACTTTTGATGCAAATCCACTCAGGTACCTATGAGAATCTTTTGCACAATTATAAAGAAGATGCCTATTACAAGTTCACAGCTCTGAAATCTACTTCATAAACCTGGTCATAACATTAATAGGCTAGTCCATGACTGAACTGTAATAATAATAAACAACAGATTCTCCAGTAGTCAGTAGTGATACACAATGATACAGATGAGCTGCAGGAAAAAAGCAAAAAAGTCCTAACACATAATAAACATGATACCTTTGTAGTGAAGTTAAAAACTAAAATCAAGAAAGATTTCAAATGACACTTCTAGATAAAATAAAACCTTCTCCAAGGAAAGGAAAAGGAATGATAAACGTGAGATTCAGGATGATGGCTAACTTTGGTGTGAGAAAGTTGTGGGGTGGGGATTACATAGGTAGATGTACATTATGTTCAAGACTCTGGCTTTTCTTTGGGGTTCTCAGGCAGTTACACTGAAAATAATTAAATCTGAAGGACAGAGAATGCAAAAGAAGTAAACTTGGAGACAATAAGAATATAGTCCCTCAGAGAGATAACAGAACATGATGAATCTTTAAATAATATGGGAGAAAACAGAATATACAGATTTCAATAATGAGCTCTTTGAAATTAAACATTTAATGGTTGGCAGTTGGCGCAGCGATTGAGACATGGCTTGGGATGCCCACAACCCATACTGGGGTGCCTAGGTTCCAGACCCGGCTCTGCTCCTGATTTTGGCTTCCTGCCAAGGCATATGCTGGGGGATAGGAGGTGACAGCTGAATTAGCTGGGTCTCTGCCTCCCACGTGGGAGACACAGATTAAGTTCCTGTCTCCCAGCTTCAGCCTCAGCACCCCAGGTGCTGCACGCATCTGGTGGGCACACCAAGGGATGGGAGATTTCTGTCTGCTTCTCTGTCTCCTGGTGCTCTAATAAGTAAATTCGACACCAAATGAGAGTTTCATTGTAATGGTAGACAAATAAAAATGATATTTCTTGGATAAAACAGAAAACCAGAAAGAAAACATACATAAATTCTAGATGAGCATTCCAAGTAGTTCTGTGGCCTATTCTCTATAACCAACCCTTTCTTCCTTACCTGCTTCTTCTATTGACATTATCAATGCTCAAATCTAAAAGCCTTGATTACCCAGGTAGATAGGATGATGAAGCAAAGACAAGCAGTCGAGGTCCTGGACCAACTCTAGAACTGCCTACCTCTGAACTACTTCTGTAAATACTACTAATAAAAGCCCCTTGGTGTCTAAGAAAACAGAATCAAAGCAGATGTAGAAAAATTTAGTCCCATGTCAAATTATAGCTACCAATCAAGTATGATAATAGAACAAAGGCAATTTTAAATACAAGACAAAAACATATCTCTCATGTGTTCATCCTTAGGAAACTAGAGGTCGTGAGTTTCCAAAATGAGCTAGTTAACCCAGAAAGTGAGTGACGTGGGACCCAGCAAATGGGAATTCAACATAGGAAAGAGGTGTAGGGGTCACAGAATCAGCACCAACGTCAGTTTCAGCACTGTGCAGCAGGCCTAGGAAGAGAACCAGCAGCTCAAATTACTGCAGGGAGACAGGAGGCTCAGAGGCAGAGGCGGCACATCAACGCACGGAAGAGGATACAGTGCAGCGACATCTGAGAGCAACAATGGTCTCTGGGGACGGACACACGGATAAAGACAATGGGAAAGTGACAGCATCTCTGAAGTCAAAAGCCATGAACACTGGAGATATCACCAATCCAACTGGGAGAGCGGATTGGCTATGCTGAGTTGGAGGAAGTGAGAAGTGAAATATGTGAAGCCTTTATTTCCCCCCTCATCAGGCAGCTAGAAATAAAATTGCAAGTTGTGGGTCAGTGCAGTTCAGGGACGGAACTATCTATAGATTTCACATGCATGCAGGCGTGTGAGTGTACACAGAGGTGGAGGAAGAGAGAGGTCATCATTCTGACCATAGCCAGGTTTTCCGACGGGGCTGGGGAAGAGCAAGACAGAGACTCAGCCATAATTACAGAGCACATGCGAAGCAGAGAGAGAGAAGATCATTTCAGACAGAAAGGAACTAGATAGCATGAACTCTCTCTTTTTGTAGTGAGCCAGAGAGGTTAAAAAAAAAAAAAAAAAAAAAAAAAAAATTTATCCAAGGCTGGTGAAGACATGGGAGAATAGGGACAGAAAGTCAGATAACCTCTGGCAGGCTGAAAAAAATTAAAGCTATATTCACAATTATTACCTTAATAATATCATCAGTTCCTCCAGCAACAGCTTTTGATTTGAGTTCTTCAACTTCTTTCTCCAATTCTAAACAATAAACAAAAGATGCCAGCTTAGAAATGAAGACAACAATTACTGGCTAAACTGGTAAGTACATTCTTAAAAAAAGCCCCACATCGATAAATCAGAATATACTTAGGAAGCAGAGACATTGAGAAAGTGCTACATTCACCTACATAATATTACCTTTTCTTTTCCTTTTTATTATGGAAAACTTCAAATAGAAAAGTAGAGAATAGTATGATTAATCTCTATGAATTCATTATTCCATTTTAGCAATTATTCCATGATATACTTCATTTCACCCCAACCTGTACTCCCTCCTTCCCCCTAATAATGTTGAAGGAAATCCCAGACATATTAATTCAGCTGTAAACACTATTATGTAATCTTAAAGGAACACCTAGCTCTGTATGGAGTGTGTATATATAAGAAGTATTTATTTTCACACAGGCAAGGTGGAGAGAAAGGGAGGGGAGGGAGGGAGAAAGAAAGAGGGAGGGAGAGGGAAATCAAGATCTTCCATTAGCTGGTTCACTCCCCAAATGCCTATAACAGCTGCAGCTGGACAAGGTCAAAGCCAGCAGCCCAAAACTCCATCCGGGTCTGCCATGTGGGTAGTAAGGACTCACAATACTTGAGCCATCATTGCCGCTTCCCTGGATACACATTAGTAGAAGCTGAATGAGAATCAGAGCTTACTAGAAGCAGGCACTCCAACCTGGGATGCAGTGCATCTTAACCACTGAGCCAGACACTCAACTCTAATTTATCTTCACTTTTACTTGAAAGGCAGGGTCTTCCATCCACTGGTTTACTCCCTAATTGCCCACAACTGCTGGGACTGGGCCAGGTTGAATCTAGGAGCCCAGAACCCAATCCAGGTCTCTCACGTGGGTGGCAGGGACCCAACCTGAAGAGCAAGACAGACTCATCTACTGTCTCCCAGAATGCACATCAGCCATGAAGTTAGACTGGAAGCAGAGCCAGGACTCAATCAGCACCTCCAATGTGGGATGTGGGTGCTCCAAGCAGCAACCTAACGGCTGCACCAAACACTGCTCCCCATCCTCATCCCTTGAAGTATAAATGCTAATCTGAATATTTTTTCTTTTGTTTAAGATTTGTTTATTTTTGGCCGGTGCCGCGGCTCACTAGGCTAATCTGCCTGTGGTGCCGGCACCCCAGGTTCTAGTCCCGGTCGGGGCGCCGGATTCTGTCCTGGTTGCCCCTCTTCCAGTCCAGCTCTCTGCTGTGGCCCGGGCATGCAGTGGAGGATGGCCTAAGTGCTTGGGCCCTGCACCCCAAGGGAGACCAGGAGAAGCACCTGGCTCCTGGCTTCGGATCAGTGCGCTTCCGCTCGCCGCAGTGTCTCAGCTGCGGCCGTTATTGGAGGGTGATACAACGGAAAAGGAAGTCCTTTCTCTCTGTTTTTTCTCTCTCCCTTCTTCTTGTCAAAAAACAAAAACAAAAACAAAAACATTTGTTTATTTTCAAAGTCAGAGTTTTTTATATATATATAGAGAGAGAGAGAGAGAGAAAGAGAGAGAGAGGGAGGGAGGGAGGGAGGGAGAGAGAAAGAAGAGAAGAGAAGAGGAGAGGAGAGGAGAGGAGAGGAGAGGAGAGGAGAGGAGAGGAGAGGGGAGGGGAGGGGAGGGGAGAGGAGAGATCTTCCATCCATGGGTTCAATCCCCAGATGGCCTCAATGGCTAGTGCTGAGCCAGGCAGAAGTCAGGAGCCAGGAGCTTCATCCAGGTCTTCCACATGGGTGGCAGGGGCCCAAACACTTAGGCCATCTTTTGCTGCTTTTCCCAGGCAATTAAACAAGGCAGTGGACCAGAAGTGGAGCAGAGCAGCCAAGACACAAACCAGTGCCCATACAGGATGCTGGCGTTGTAAGCAGCAGCTTTACCACTTCACCACAATGCCAGCCCTTGAATATTTCTTTTTTAAAAAAGATTTATTTATTTGAAAAACAGAGCTACAGGGAGAAAGAGAGAGAGGGAGAAAGGGGAGAAAGAGAGAGAGAAGGGGGAAAGGGGGAAAAAGGGAAGGGGGGAGGGGGGGAGGGGGAGAGAGGGAGGGGGAGGGAGATAGAGACGGAGGGAGAGGGAGAGGGAGAGCAGACACTGATCTTCCATTAGCTGGTTCACCCCCAAACGGCTACAATGGCCACTGCGGTTGACACCAGGGCCTGAAATTCTATCCTGACTCAACGTGTGGATGGCAAGAGCCCAAGTACTTGGCTAATTTCTGCTGCTTTCCCAGGCAAATTAGAAGCGAGCTGGATCAGAAATGGAGGCAGTGGCTTAACCTGCTTTCACCACAACACTGGCCTTGCATCTGAATATTTCATTAACACACGTACAGACTGGAAACCAGAACCTATTCCTAAAGTAGGTGAGGCCTCCACCCACAGTGCCAGCATCCCATATGGGTGCCAGTTAGAGTCCTGGCTGATCTACTTCCAACCCAGCTCCCTGTGCATGTGTCTGGGAAAGCAGCAGAAGATGGCCCAAGTCCTTGGGCCCCTGCACCCACGAGGGAGATCTGGAAGAAGCTCCTGGCTCCTGACTTCCGACTGGCTCAGCTCCAGCCATTGCAGCCATCTGGGGAGTGAACCAGCAGATGGAAGACTGACTGACTGACCTCTCTCTTTGCTTCCCCCCACCCGTGTATAACTCTGCCTTGCAAATGAATCTTTTTATAAAAGGTTTATTTATTTATTTGGAAGGCAGAGTTACAGGGAGGCCATCATCTGCTGCCCTCCCAGGCACATCAGCAGGAAGCTGCATCAGAAGCATGGTAGTCAGTGTTGAACTGGCACTACGATACAGCATATGGGCATCCTGATGGAGGGCTTGTTCTGCCTGGCCACACACCCGCCTGCTCCAGATAAATTACTCTTGATCACAAGCTGATCCAATGTCCCAAAACGTAACTTGACTTCTCCTAACAGAAAATCAGTTTTGGGTGTTTAGGCTGAGCAGTTAACAATTGTTAAGTCTCAGAAATTCAAGAGTTCACCCAAATATACCAAAAGAAGTCATGAACATTTTCTTTTTTTCCTTTTGAAATAAAAAGGAAACTGTGGCAAATAAATATACCTCAAATGTTCAGGACCGGAAATGTTTAAAAATCACTTTAGGACCCTTTTTACGTCTCTGGCTATAACTTCGTGTCTTTTAATATTTCAACTGACTCCTCCAGAGTCAGTTTACTTTATACTTTACTCAGAAGACTATAGAATCCCCATGAAGGAAACAAATACTCAACAAACATAGTTTTAATCCTCTTGCCTGACTTTAACAAATGCAGATGACTTCAGTTTAGGAATGTGAGGTAATAAAAAAAAATCAGTCTCCAGTGTCTAAGATGTATTTGGAGTCTCTGGAAAACAAAAACGTGCTAAGGTGCTGCTAACAATCTACCGTTTTAAACCGTTATCCAATGAGAGTGGTCAAAGTCAGTATTTTCAGCCCAATACCTGTGCACCTTGATTTAGCTTTCTGTATTAGCATCATCTGCTTCTTGGCGAACTTGATGAGGTCTTCCTTGGGCAGCGTTTCCAGCTGAAAGATGCAGTCATGTTACCAACTCGTTACCACTCACGTTCCCAGCACACCACAAGAGAAAGAAGACGCCCGCTTAAACATTCTGCTGAATGCCAACCAAATACCACACTTGGTTCCAAGGGCTAAAAAAGTAAATGCAACTGCAACTCAATAGTTATTACCATGCATCTACTAAAAACATGAAAATTAGCTACACAACTACTGTGAAAGGCAAAAAACAGCACAATAGCACGTACCCTCTTATGAACCGTGCTATTCTAGATTGATGCTAAACTCTGATTTAACCGTAAAATTACTGGCTTAGAACTAATGCTACTCAAGAAACCTGAAAGCCATGAAAATACTTTTCTTGAACACTGAAGGAAGTTTTGAGCCACGAGAAAATCTGAGTATAACTACAGCAACAACAAGATGCATCCGGTTACTTAACAGCTGAAAAATTAAGCTTTACCATTTTTGAAAACTACTGAACCTTAGTGAGCTGTTTTCTCATCTGTAAGTGGGGACCACGAGGCTTAAACCGAGTGCGTGCACAGGTAAGCGTCCGAAACTTGATCCACAACCAATAAATCCCAGCAATAAACCCCTATCTTTGCAAATCATCGACTGTTAAACACTGGGGCCATAAACACTGCCCAGTTCAGTTCCCTTTGCATGTGGGAGGCGGGCCCAGGGAACAGTCCCTGGATTCCTTCCTCGGTCCCGAATGCACAGGTCATACTGCTCTGCGCGATGTTTGAACAACTGCAGGAACTCTCAGCAGCGCTAACCAGGATCAGGAAGCGGACGAAACGTCAAGTCGTTGCACACCACGAACCCCAAGCCCAGAAATACGTGGCTGCCTGGCCATTAAAACCGAGACCCCTTCCGCAGCCACCCCGGACGCTCGCCACGGCTCTGCAGTCCACCATCCCGCTCTGCACCTTCGACTTCCCGGTCCCGGGGGTGCTGGGTGCGGCCGTCCCATCCTGCGCAGGGTCCTGCGAACGAAGCCCAGGTGTCACAACTCCGGTCCCCACACGGGACGCGCCCACCCTCAACAAGCAGAAGCCCTCCCCGGGAACCAGCGGACGGAAGACCTTCGGCTGACGAGACAAGGGGGCGGCGGCTTGGCGCCGGGGCTCTCGGGGACGGGCAGGTGACCGCGAGCGGCTGGGGGCGGCGCGCAGGCGGCGGGCCCCCAATTCTCGCGCGGAAGGCTCGGCGCCAGCACCCCCGGGCTATGTTACCTCCATCGTCCACCGCCGCCGGGTCCCCGTGGCCCCGTAACCCAGCAGCGCCTCGGCCGCCGCCGCGCTTCCGTCGGCGGGCGCCTCTGACGTACACTCGGCTGGGAGTCAAAGGTCGCGCTCTGCGCGCGGCACCGCCCACCCACGTCGCCATGGCTACGGCCGGCGGCGCTTCCGCTTCCGGTTCCGCCTGGACGTGCTGGCGCCCGAGTCCGGCGCTTCCGGGGCGCGGAAACTGACGGTGTTTCATGCAACGTTTGGAGACCCGTGCATACTGAGGGGACTTGAAAAACTTAATGGAAAGTGAGTGTTAAGAAAGACCTATGCGTGGGGTTCAAACATTTTTGCATCAAAATAAACGACCTTTAGTGCCATTTTCCACCTACTTTTTGAAGCACCCGCATATTACTCAATTTCTTGTAATTTGAAATGGCCAAAAGGATGTGAAAAGACAGCGTACAGTGTGTGTTAAACAGTAGTTAATAATTTTGAGGTAAGGCAAGGGTCAAATAATAGAGAAAGGACATTATGATGGCCTCCCTAACACTTTTTTTTTTTTAATTTTGTTTAAGGACTACAACTTCATGCATTTAATACATACAGATTTGGGAGCATAGTGATTCTTTCCTACCCCTACCCACACTACCACCCCTCTCCCCTCCTGCTTCCCCTCCCACTCCCATCCTCTACAGAGATCAACCTCTCAGTTAAATTTTATACTCATAAAATTGACCCTACGCTAAGCAGAGAGTTCACTGATCAGTATGAAGCAAGAAACAAAACCAACCAACCAAGGACAAAAAAATATTGTTTCTCAACCAACATCAAGGCATCTCAAAGTGTAAATTTCACTCCTACAGATTACATTTTAGGTACTATATTAGATACCACTGATCAGAGAGAACATAATGGTATTTGTCTTTTTCTGACTGGCTTATTTCACTAAGTGTGATGGTTTCCAGTTGCATCCATTTTCTTGCAAATGAAAGCACTTCATATTTTTTACATTGTGTAGTATTCCATAGTGTATATATACCATGATTTCTTTCTCCAGTCCTCAGTTGATGGACATCTGGGTTGATTCTGTATCTTAGCTATTGTGAATTGAGCTGAGATGAACACAAAGGTACAAAGGTACAGAGTACTCTTTCTCTCTTTCTTTTTTTTTTTTTTTTTTTTTTTTGACAGGCAGAGTGGACAGTGAGAGAGAGAGACAGAGAGAAAGGACTTCCTTTTGCCGTTGGTTCACCCTCCAATGGCCGCCGCGGCTGGCGCGCTGCAGCCGCGCACCGCGCTGATCTGATGGTAGGAGCCAGGTGCTTCTCCTGGTCTCCCATGGGGTGCAGGGCCCAAGCACTTGGGCCATCCTCCACTGCACTCCCGGGCCACAGCAGAGAGCTGGCCTGGAAGAGGGGCAACCGGGACAGAATCCGGCGCTCCGACCGGGACTAGAACCCCGTGTGCCGGCGCCGCAAGGCGGAGGATTAGCCTAGTGAGCCACGGCGCCAGCCCCAGAGTACTCTTTCATATGTTGATTGCATTTCCTTTGGGTAAATTCCCTAGATTGGTGTGGCTGGGTCATATGGTAGGTCTGTATTCAGCTTTTTGAGATATCTCCATATTTCTTCCACAGTGGCTGTACCAGTTGACATTCCCACCGACAGTGGATTGAGGTACACTTCTCCCCACATCCTCACCAGCATTTGTCATTTGTTGATTTCTGTATAAGGGTCATTCTAAAGGGGGTGAGGTGAAGTCGCCTTGTGGTTATGATTTGCATTTCCCTGATGGCTAGTGATCCTGAGCATTTTTTCATGTGTCTGTTGGCCATTTGAATTTCCTCTCTTGAAAAACGATGTTCAGGTTCTTTGCCCATTTCTTGATTAGGTGGTTTGTTTTGTGGTGGTTGAGTTTCTTGAGCTCTTTATAGATCTGGAAATTAATCCTTTGTCAGCTTCATAGTTTGCAAATAATTTCTCCCATTCTGTCGGTTGCCTCGTCACTTTACTGAATGTTTCTTTTGCAGTGCAGAAGCTACTCAGTTTGATGTAATAATATTTGTTAATTTTGGCTTTGATTGCCTGTGCTTCTGTGGTCTTTTCCAAGAGGTCTTTCTCTATGCCAATGTCTTGTAGGGTTCTCCCAATGTTCTCCAATAATTTGATGGTATCATGTTGTAGATTTAGGTCTTTGAACATTTTGAGTGGATTTTTGTGTAAGGTGTAAGGTAAGGATCTTGTTTCATGCTTCTGCATGCAGATATCCAGGAGTTGCCTTTGTTCCTTGGTCAAAGATAAGTTGGTTGTAGATGTGTGGATTAATTTCTGGAGTTTCTATTCTGTTGCATTGGTCTACATGTCTGTTTTTGTGCCAGTACCAGGTTGTTTTGATTATAACTTCCCTGTGGTATGTCTTGAGGTCTGGTATTATGATGCCTCCAGCTTTGTTTTTATTGTTTAAGATTGATTTTGCTATTTGGGGTCTGTTGTATTTCCATATGAATTTTAGGATCTTTTTTTTCTGTATTTGAGAAGAATGTTGTTGATATATTGATTAGGATTGCATTGAATCTATAAATCGCTTTCAGTAGTATGGATATTTTGCAGATGAATGTGGAAGATTTTTCCACTTTTTAATATCTTCTATTTCTTTCTCTAATGTCTTATAATTTTTATCATAGAAATCTTTGATGTCTGTGGTTAAGTTTATTCCAAGGTACTTAAATTTTTTGTAGCTATTGTGAATGGGATTGATCTTAGAAGGTCTTTCTCAACTATGGCATTGTCTGTGTATACAAAGGCTATTGTTTTGTGTGTTGATTTTATATCCTGCTACTTTTCCAAACTCTTTTATGAGTTCCAATAGTCTCTCTGTGGAGTCTTTTGGGTTCCCTATGTATAGAATCATCTCATCAGCAAATAGGGGTAGTTTGACTTCTTTCTTCTCTATTTGTATCCCTTTGAAAAGCGGAGTTACAGAGAAGCAGAGGAAGAAGGAGAGAGAGGGAGAGAGGGAAGGAGGGAGGGAGGGAGGGAGGAAGAGAGAGAGAGAGAGAGAGAGAGAGAGTGAGTCTTCCATCTGCTGGTTCACTCCCCAAATGGCTGCAATGGCTGGATCTGGCCGATCCAAAGCCAGAAGCCTGGATCCTCCTCTGGGTCTCCCACGTGGGTCCTTGGGCCATCTTCTACTGCTTTCCCCGGAGAGAGCTGCATCAGAGGTGGAGCAGCTGGGACTCAAACCGGCACCCATGTGGGATGCTGGCACTGCAGGTGGCGGCTTTACCTGCTATGCCACAGTGCTGACCCCACAACCAAAATTTTTAATGTATTAATGGCAGCAAGTACTGTCAAAGAAGAGTGGATAAATGGTTTGGCAGATAGTGTTGGAAAACTTCAAGACTATGAGCAGCCTTTGAGCAACAGAGGAATTTCTGCTGCTCTAACTACATGAAGTACATTGCCTTTTACATCTCAGGTACTCCATGTATATTTAATGGCATTCATGAATTGATGTGGAAAAGAATCAAAGTAAGAGAACTTAAGACTACTTGTCAGTGTTTTCCAGGTTTTGAATAAGACTAGAACTGACAAGGATATTTGTTCTATCAATGGAAAATTAGAATGTTTTTCTCCTTCCATGGGGATTTACTCCAGCTTCAAGAACTGGCGTTTAGGGCCAGCTTGTCCTCACTGCCACTCTCCTTTCTGTGTATCATTTCTTTCCTGGGATGTTGGAGGCAGGCATAATGTCCTTGACCATCTGATGGCCTCTGCTGTTGTTCCTTTTAAAGAAAAACTCTCAGGGCTGTGGTGTAGCGGGCTAAGCCTCTGCCTGTAGCACCAGCATCCCACAAGGGCACCAGTTCATGTCTTGACTGCTCCACTTCTGATCCAGCTCTCTGCTATGGTTTGGGAAAGCAGTAGAAGATGCCCCAAGTCCTTGGGGCCCTGCATCTGCAGTGGGGGACCCTGAGGGAGCTCCTGGTTCCTGGCTTTGGATCGTCCCTGCTCCTGCCATTGTGGCCATTTGGGGAATGAACCAGAGGGTGGAAGACGTTTCTCTCTCTGTCTCTCCCTCTCTCTGTAACTCTGCCTTTCAAACAAATAGGTCATGATTCTCAAGTGTCCATACTGGTGGATTCTACTTTCCACTAGTAAGTCAGGATTTGTGTCTGTGTATTATGTGATTATTTCACTAGTTCACTGTGGCTTCTATACTAAAATCCTGAAGACTGGGTGGCTTGAACAACAGAGAAGTGCCTTCTCACAGTTCTGGAGGCTGGAAGTCCAAACGTGTCAGTTGGCAGGGTGGGTTTCTTCAGAGGCTGTGGGGGAGACAGTTCCCGGCCTCTGTCTCCTGGGCTTGTAGATGGCTGTGTTCCCTGTGTCTCGTCACACTGCCTTCATCCTAGGCATGTCTCTGTAGCCATTTCCCCCTTTGTGTAAGAACCTGGTTATGGTGCATCAGGATCCTTCTAAATGACCTCATTTTAACGTGGTTACCTGAGTGAAGACCCTGTTTCCCAATAAGGTCGTATTCTGAGGTACTGGGAGTTAAGACTTGAACATGCGAGATTGACGGGTGGGGGACATAATTCAGTCCACAGCAGTTATCATCTCCAAAGGGCACCTGTAACCAACTAAGCCTAGAGGATTGAGGAAAATGACGTCTCTGGGGAAGTGGGAGGACTGGAGTTGGTGGAGCCCAAGAACAGCACTGATGGCACCTGCTTGGTTGGGGCACGGGAGAGGCTGGCAGAGGCAGGCCCCCGGGGAAGATGCTGGTGGACACAGATGAAAGAGTATTTTTCCTACTCCATCATTTGCCATAATTCACAGTTTTACTTAGTCCTTCCGATTTAAGAGAAAAGCTGCAAAAAATAGTAAAGAAATTCTGTATAGCTTTCCCTCATGTTAACCATTTGCTGCATGTGCTATGTAGCAGTGAACCTTTACAAACAAGACAGATGAGAAGTACTATTCTTTAATTTTTCTGCTGGGCCAGCACCGTGGCTCACTTGGCTAATCCTCTGCCTGCAGGGCCGGCATCCCATATGGGCGCTGGATTCTAGTCCCGGCTGCTCCTCTTCCAGTCCAGCTCTCTGCTGTGGCCCGCGAAGGCAGCGATGGATGGCCCAAGTGCTTGGGCCCTGCACCCGCATGGGAGACCAGGAAGAAGCACCTGGCTCCTGGCTACGGATTGGTGCAGCGTGCAGGCCATAGCGGCCATTTTGGGGGTGAACCAACAGAAGGAAGACCTTTCTCTCTGTCTTTATCTATATCTGTATCTGTCAAGTAAATAAAAAAATACCCTATAATTTTTCTAGTGCTTTCTCAGCTCTTCCTGAAATTCCAGCAGTGGTTTGCAAGGCACTACAGTCTGACTCCAGGTGCATCTGCAGCCTTGACTGTGGCTGCTCTTCTGCCATTTGCACTCACTTTTCCTTCTGTGGGATGCCTTTTCTTCCAGTACCCACCTGGATTACTCTTATTCAGGTCTTTCCTGAAGTATTATCTTGGCGAGTTCTCTTGTTGCCACTCTATTTTAAAAGTATTTCAGGGGCTGGCGCTGTGGTGTAGGGGATGAGGCCACCGCCTGCAGTGCTGGCATTCCATATGGGTGCCGGTTTGAGTCCTGGCTGCTCCACTTCCGATCCAGCTCTCTGCTGTGGCCTGGGAAAGCAGAATAAGATGGCCCAAGTCCTTATGCCCCTGCACCCACATGGGAGACCTGGAAGAAGCTCCTGGCTCCTGGCTTCAGGTCGGCACAGCTCCTGCCATTGCCTCGCCCTCTCTCTCTGTGTAAGTCTTTCAAGTAAATAAAAATAAATCTTAGAAAAAAAAGGTATTTCAAACCTGTTTCCTCTTGCACTCTGTATTTCACTACCTTGCAAGAATTTAGAACCTCAGTTCAAAGTTAGCAGTACATTTACGTTATTAATCATGTACACACAGCTAGCACTGCAGCTCACTAGGCTAATCCTCCGCCTGCGGTGCCGGCACATCGGGTTCTAGTCCCGGTCGGGGTGCAGGATTCTGTCCAGGTTGCTCCTCTTCCAGTCCAGCTCTCTGCTGTGGCCCGGGAGTGCAGTGGAGGATGGTCCAAGTGCTTGGGCCCTGTACCCGCATGGGAGACCAGGAGGAAGCACCTGGCTCCTGGCTTCAGATCGGCACAGTGCCAGCCGTAGTGGCCATTTGGGGAGTGAACCAACGGAAGAAAGACCTTTCTTTCTGTCTCTCTCTCTCTCTCTCTCACTGTCTAACTTTGCCTGTCAAAAAATTAATCATGTACACACAAGATGTGGGCACACACATACACACACACACACATGTGCATGAATCTGAAACAGAGAAAGAAGGAGAGGCACAGAGAGAGGTCTTCCATCTGATGGGTCACTCCCCAGATGGCTGCAATGGCCAGAGTTGAGCTGATCCGAAGCCAGGAGCCAGGAGCTTCTTCTGGGTCTCCCACATGGGTGCAGGGGCCCAAAGACGTGGGCCATCTTCTGCTTTTCTAGGCCATAGCAGAGAGCTGGATCAGAAGAGGAGCAGCTGGGACTAGAACTGGCACCCATATGGGATGACAGGGCTTTAACCCACTGCACCACAGCACCAGCCCCTGTATAGGGTATTTCTGATGTGCCTTTGAAATCCAAATGGAGAGGCCAAGAAGA